TGCGCCGAGACGACAACCATTTGTGCCACAAACTTTAATAAGACTGATATGGGAGATGGAGAACTAACCTCTGTAAAACCGTCTCAGATAATGGCTTTTTTTCACAACCCTGAGAGTGCATGATGAGTTATAACTCAAGAAAGGGAGACACAATAGGTCTATCATCATCATCATCATCATTTTCGTCTTATTCAACCATTTCCAATGATGGTGTAGCCTCCCTCAAATACTCTCTTTGTAGTTGGGCCCATTGTTGTCTATTGTTGGCTATGTGGACCCAAGATATCCCTGCTAATTTCCTAATATCATGGTCCCATCTCTAGATCTCTTAATTACCATGCTGTAATTTTTGTGGTCCATCTGTTGTCCGTCCTTCTTGCCAAGTGTCCTGCCCATTGCCATTTGAGAGATTTGACTCTGTGGATGACATCTATTATCTGGGTCTTTTGTCGTATCCACTTTATTCTTTTACGGTCTATCTTGGTTATTCCCAGCATAATTTCGTTATATTGAGTGTTGTGCGACCTGCAGTTTCCTTATGATGTCCGTTTTAAGTGTCCAGGTTTTGAAGAAATACGCTAGGCACTTAAAATAGGTCTATAGAGTGGTATACCGGGTGTTGTATCGTCGAGCGGGACATAGGAAATCCCATGTAAATTTTAATGTGGTCAATTATTGGCTTCCCTAATTAATTTAGAGAATAATTCTATTTAGGTTTATTGAAGAGCACTAAAACCCACATTCAAAAGAATAACTTTAGATATTTTTGATTAGCCCGTTTACGAGTTATCGCCGATTTCTTTTTAAATATTTCTTCTTTCTTATGACCCTGTATTTACTTATGAGCACCAGTCAAGGTAAAAGATAACTGTCAAATGAAGTTGTCATTTCAGAAATTTACCTATTTAGTACTTTATTATTATTGAAAACTCATTCCTACATCGGAAATCTTAAAGATGTATTTATAAATACAAATTAATATGAATTAAAGTAAAATAAAGTAGTCAATTACAAGGTTAATTATGGTATTATTACAATATTCAATAACTTATTAATTTAGGTACTATTAAATTGTTAGAACTTTAGGATTTAAGAAGATGTTCAAATATTCTTCCATCGACTGCTAGACAATAACCCAGGCGATCATAAAATTCTCTTCTTACATTCGCTAGTTGGTAAACTGAAATACTATTGCATTCGGCAGAAATAGCATTTTTTAACTCGTCTAGATTTGGGTATTTTTTATCCTTGTATATCCTGTTTTTTAAATGGCTCCAGAGAAAGAAATCGTTTGGCGAAATATCAGGAGGCCTTACTGGCCAATTTACTGTATGATTTAGGCCAATAACGTTTCCGTTAAAACTATTGTCTAAATATTCCCGAACAGCCAGGGTACTATGTGCCGGGCAGCCATCCATTTGGTACCAAACTTCCTGATTTTCCCTAGCGGCATCATGTAAAGCAGGTAAATTATGATTTTCGAGTAGTTCCAAATAATATTCTGCATTTAAATTTCGCGTAAGAAATCTGTGTTGGTTTTCTTTGTTCCAATATCGATAATTTTGAACATTGGGTTCATTATTTAAGGTAAACGTGCATTCGTCAGTGAAACATATGTTTTTTAAAAATTCCCTATCCGTATTTGCTCTTTCCATCATATCAAAACAAAACGCCTGCCGTCGTATTTCGTCCATCTCGTAGCTCTTGGTGCTTTTCATATTTGAAGGAATAGTATTTATGTCGTTTCAAAATTCGAAACGCTGTAGTGTGATCTATTCCTATTTCATCCTCAAGTTTCCTTGTGCTTATCTTTCCATCGTTCTCTTCCACGCATAATAAAACTTCCAAGTCACCAAGGTATCATTTCTTGCATCTTCTCTTTGTTCCTACCTTGCTTCACATCTGCAGTTATTTATTGGGGTACCTTTGGTCTCAAAAAACAAGACAAACTTGCGACAAAAATGGGGAATTCTGACAAGACAAACTTGAGACAAATTGTCCACACCGCAAGAACAATAGTGTAACAAAGTCAAAAGTTTAGTTGTTGCGAATGAGTTTTATAAACCATGTGTGATTTCACTGGTCTCCTACTGTTGGCAGCACACGCCATCCACACTGCGCCGACAACTTGTCGTGAAATATACGAACAAAACATAGACACTTTGATCTTTACCGACTCGAGACGGGACATTGAAGTCTCCGAATTTTGAAACTAAACAAAAATGAGACAAAAGTGTCGCAGAATGTTTCTGTCTTGTCGTTGTTTTGTCTGCTTGGTTACTAAAATTGAAAGTATGTTCGACACCACTATTCCTAATCGACCCTTATTAGGCGTATTTTGTGAACTTTTCCCAAAAAAAAATAATTAACCCGAATTTTTGAGTGATATTATCAATCTTCCTTCTAAGTCTGATTGAATTAAATCATTCATTTTGATTCTCTCGTCTCGGAGGCAGGAAGGAACCCTCCGAAATTATTTTTTCCCTTTGGGATAATAATTTGCGTTCCCTTTGCCACAGCCTACTTGGTCCGCTTGCTTCGGGGCTGCCTACGCTAATTGCTTTGCCTTTGCTCTTATCGAGGCCCTTAATTAGAAGGGACCTCCTAGCCGGATGGGGGCCTAAAGGCGTATCGAGTACAGGGTGTCCCAGACTCGAGGGATGGTCATTGGGATCTTGATGGACATTCGATACAGATACAACTCAGTGCAAAAACACGTATACAATTTATCATAGAACTTCAATACGCTGATGACATGCGAGAGCGCTAAAGTCATGCTTACTAAATCCCCCTTAAGATGGGCTGGTCACGTATTCAGGATGCAAGAAAACCGCCTACCAAAATCTCTTCTTTACGCCGAGCTTGTAGACGGTAAGAGAACTAACCCTAACCAAATCAAATCAAAAGTTACAATAATATTTTCCACGAAAACTTAAAGAGGATAAGCATGGAGAATCAGTGGGAGGAAGCAGCGCACAATAGAACGCCATGGAGAAGAATTGTAAACTCGGTTAACACCGACAACCAAAAAGTAAAGTGGCAACAAAATAATGAGATTTTTGAATGTCCGAAGTGCCGAAGAGAGATAACATCACGTATCGGGCTTTTCAGTCACAGAAAAGCTCATGAAAGAAGATGCCTTGCGTAACCATCTTCTGATGCGTGTCAAATACTCGTCAGCGAGTAATGGTAGTAAGTACGTTCTTTACTATTGGATCACCCTTTACAAAGTGTCCCAATAGATAATATTTTTGCTTATTTGTAAAGATAGAAGCTTGCGGATTTCACGGACTTCTTCAGCTACTTTTTTGTGACATCAAAGATGTCTCAAACAAAATTTCCTTAAAAAAATCTCCTTAGTTACCATAGTACAGGGTGATTTTGAAATCTCAGATCTCAGTTATCTGACATCTTATCCAAAAAGTATATAGTTTTTTTTAACAAGATTTAAAAAATAAAACTCGCGTTTATTTTACTTTCCACTATACATATATTTTAGTTTAAAACACTACATGTTTCGCGGTACAACAGCTTCTTCAGTTGACTACAATTAAACTTTTTTATACAAGCATTAGAGTTAACTAAAATAAATATAATTATTTACATGCAAGTGTTATTTACAAGACAAATTATTAATTACATGCATATATTTTACAAAACGATTTTAAGTATGAATTTATAAACTTTTGAATAAAAAGATTAACAAAGGACTATAATACTATCCATGTATTCATGCATTATAGAGTCGACATTATGAACCCCCATTCTTTGACAGTTCTCTTTGACGTTTCATTTGAATTTTAAAACGACACGCTTGAATTTGATTTGACATTTTGCGGATGTTTTGTGCTTTTTGAGCTTATTTTATATTATTTATTCTACAATTGCTAGAAGGATATTGTGTCAGAACTTAAATTAACAGTGACATTATTAAGAATTCACGAAAAAAACTGTAAAATAATTAGTTATGCAGCATATGGTAGATCTCGATCAGAAATCGAGATAAAAAAGAGATATTTTTCACTAATAAGTAACTATATAGCACGTTACGTGTAGCCAACCAAACAAAACAATTCCGAAATCCACTTAGAATATATTTTTAATAACTTTTTATTCAAAGATTTAAATCGTTCTAAAGCTGCCAATAATTAGAGAGATCATCAGACACTCTGTATTATTTTTATTGTTCGTTAGTGTAACTTCGTTAATATTTAAAAATACTGTACTATTTTTGACAATATAAACATTTCAATATTTTTGGGCCAGCCTGTATATATACATTTTTATATGAATAATCGATAGAGCGTTACCAGTGGCGCCCTCTGTGATCTATTCCCGGAGCTAGACCAACGTATAGAGCTGGGCAAATTAAAAATAACTACTTTTTTATTTTTGCCCAGACTACCTTGCACACATCTACAATGGAAAATGCAGCCAAAAATTGAGAAAAAATGATAATTAAAACAGCTATTTTCGATAAAAGGCAGACAATGACGCACTTAGCTACGCTACTTCGAATTGTATTTGTTTAGTTTTGTGTTAATTATTTATTATTTGGGTTAGGTTAATCTAACACAACATTAAGCTTACCTGTTGGTATAATAATGATGAATTTTATCCATCAGTTGATTTGTAGAAATTTGTAGAAGTTTAATGTTGACCAGCTGGAAATACTTAATAACTAGTTTTATAAACTAAAACAATTAATTTTATGTAAATTTGTACACAGAACGAATATGAAAAAGCTTTGGAAATTTCGACTTAACCTACAAAAAACCTTACAATCTAACAACAGGACATTTTTTGGTGTATCACCAATATTTTCAAGCATTTTTAGATCTATTTGATGGTACTTAAAGGGGTATTAAAGCTGAAGGGGTGATATAAAAAGGTAAATAATATTAGTAAAAATTTAAATGTCAACTAAGGATATATAAACACTCGGTACTGTACACCGTTCCCTGCGTGTAGTGTTCACAACGAATCCGAAAGTCACTCACAATGTTCGGTTTGTTGAATCAACACGGGCGAAAATATACACGGTACGATCTCGGTTAGAGGTACTATTTACGGCAAAAAATGTTTTTCGCACATCGTATTTAGGCTCTGATAGTCGCCATGTTTGCGGTATAGGATGCGCGCATGCCCGGGCACCAGCCGCTATACCCTGTGTCAAATTTTGCAAAACCCCGTTCCCCAAAATGCATGATCGGTTTGAGATCATATTGCAGGCTTTTTTCAAGCTCTTGGCTTGAACCGTCTATAGTCTTCCTGTTATTACTTCTGATAGTTACTCTACTGACATGTTTTTCTCAATTTAGGATAATTGACAAAATAGTAATCGACCTGACAGAAATTATCATTGATTGTCATTTCATAGGCCACTCTGACGCCGTTTTTTTTTCAGTAATATTTTTCTTTGGCAATAAGGTAAGGCAAAAAGGCCTTTGAAGTCTTTACATACCGGATGCGTCTCAAAAGTGGCTCACGTATGTTAGTATATGACATAAATTAGGATTGATTGACGTATTCAATTGTTTTTGGTCACTTCCTGTTTCCCCGGAAATGACTACAATAACTTTTGATTTTTAAACGGCACCCTCAGTATTGTTTTACTTTATTCGATAGAAAATGACATTCTGAATTGAATGACATATCATATGTCAACTTTTGACATTTTCGCTTAATAAAAAATCGTATTTTAAAATTCAATCTTCTTTCGTGAGTGCCATGGCTATATCAAAAGCACTTCAAATTCTTAATCAAGGAGCCTTGGAAACATATATTTGATCGTCTAATGTTTTTAGTGTCTTTTTCTGGCCAGTTAGAAAATGCTTATATCGTATTTTTAATCATATCTCAATTTTTTCAAATGGAACGAGGGTGGCTCATTAGCATATTTGGAAAAAGCATTTTTTAGGAATAATTTGATACCACACACTTGGTATTTCGAGTCAAACTATCGTTACGAACCGCAAGTTATAATTTCAAATAAACCATATGCGAAAATGTCAAAAGTTGACATATTATATGTCGTTCTATTCAGAATGTCATTTTCTATCGAATAAAGTAAAAAAAATACCGAGGGTGCCATTTAAAAATCAAAAGTTAGCTGAATGATAATCGATAATAATTTTGGCGTGGTCAGTCTCTAGACCTCATTATCTAAAAATAATGACATAAGATTTGTCAAAATTTAACACGAATTATAGAAAAATACCATAACAAAGGATAGAACGTTTCCAAACACAGAAGTCTTATTGCATAAAAATATATTTTCTCGAATTTTAAAATCATTTTTTATTCTACAGGGTGACGCACCTCATTCGCTTCGGTTGATTATGCAAAAAACTGAAAGATGTCATGGAGAAACTTGTCATGGCCCACAACCATCTCGATTGCCATTTTATTGAAAAATTGCTCTTTATTCAAATTCTGAGCTAGATGGGTATAGGAAACCCTAATATAGTTTGAAAGAGCATTTGAATCTGCTTCGATTTATTTAAAAAAATACAGGGTGTGGTATTTGAAATAACAAAGTTTTTATGTAAAATAAATATTTAAAATAGACCAGCAGTTTTTGAGACCCTTTTATACATTAAACGAAGCAATCAAATTTTTCAGTAAAGTTTATTCCTTTGGCTTAAAAGTCAGCACAAGAATTAATACGGAAAAGCAATGTACAGGGTGTTGACTATCTTTTTATTATTACCCTGTACATTTCAAAATAATTTTAAAAAATTAGGCACATTGCCTTCCCACATAATATACCCATAAAATCTTTTGTTTCTACATCTTTCCGTTTTCATATAATCAACCGAGGCGAATGAATAAGTGCGCCACCCTGTATATAAAAATAAATTCCAACCTTCTTAAGGCCAATTGACTATACGTGCCATTAAAAAATAAAGAAGAGTACGGGCCAAGAAATAATGTCTAGAGCTCGACCTCGCCAAAATTATCATCCGCAGCCGTCTTTGACGCCGTTTTTTCGATCGTATGGTATTTCTGTAGTTTTCGGTTCATTTTGTATTATTTTGTCATTAATTTAATCTGTTTTGTGCCTTTTATTACATGAGTGTTGACAAAAAATGATATATTTACAAGTTTTTAATTATCTTTTTGATATTTTAATGTGTGATATTTTGTTAGTAATGCCTTTTTTCTTTTTGCCTTTTAAATTTTTTTAAGTTAAGTTTTCTAGAGGATGTTTTTGTTGGTTATTTTTTCTCAGTATCCTATATTAGTTCTCTTAAAAAACTTAAAAACGCCGCAAAATGTTCTCTAGTAGTATTTTTTTTTAATATATTTACTGAAAATGTAAAAACAATCTAATTCTAAGAAGTTTTGTACAAATAACTTTTTGGAGAATTTATTTTACGACAATTTGTTTAAATTTCAGATATTGTAAATCTGGAAAATAGTATATTTAATAAAAAATGTGACAAAATAACTGAGATACTGAAAGCCTAATAAAATAAATTAACAAACTAGGTAGTCAAGAAATAATTTTATTTAGCAAAAAAATTGTAGAATATTTTTTAACTTGTGTTAAAAAGAATGTTGTTTAAAATATCCTTGATTTTATACTTAATTCTAAATAAAAAAAAACTGGCAAAATTATTTGGCTCAAAGTATTTGTACTGAGTTAAATTTATACATATTCTAATATTGCTTAAAGTGTATTTGTTGTGTATAAAATTTATTTGTCTTGATAAGCTGATAATTTAAACTACTCAATATATTATAATATATCTTTTACTCTTACTCATATTAATATATCTTGCGTTTATTATATTATCACTAGTGTTATTACAAAAGTAATCCATTACGAACAAAGTGGATGTCATAAAAATAGTGCAATTTTATGTGCATTGAAACATAAAAAACTTATTACAAGGTAGGTCCGACACACTGGGATGTGTAGTAAATTCCATACATTTGATAAATTGCATGATTACAAAGAACTCATGGGATGCGCTAAGAATTAATCAATAACTAAATAATGTCCTTTATTTAAATAATATATGAATTTTAAAGTATTCTTTTACAGTATGAATGTATCAATCACTTGGGATACTAACCTGGATTAATCCACTGATTTCTTAATTAAACCAAAAAAAAGTTATAAATACCTGTAGAAAATTTATTTTTCACGATTTAGCCTGGTTAAAAAAACCTTAGAACTGATTTATAACTAAGAACTTAAAACCTAATTATTATTTTTTAATGTTCATTCTGTAACACTTAATCGTATTTTTATCTTCTTCCTCTACCTCTTCCCCTACCCCTTGGACCACCTCTGCCTCTTCCACGGCCTCTGCCTCTTGCAGCCCCTCTGGCCGCTTCCTTTTTCTTAGCTTTCGCTTTCGGTGTGTCATCAATAAGCAGAGTTTCCAATGGAAGACTGTCCGGAAGTATGTAATAACGTATGTTGTTTCCCCTAACAGTCAATGTATCGAGATTGAGAGGGTTTCGATTTTTGGGCGTCATTTTAACGGCTTTCAAGTGTGTATTCATGGCTACGTCTACGCCTGTTATGGTTCCGTGGACTTGGGTACCGTTTTTCAGTTCCATCGTTACGGTTTCGTGGGATAGTTTCATTAAAAACCTGAAAAATGTTAAAAGCCGCTTGTAAGTATTTGAGGTTAGGCGTTGTGTCAAGTCGAAAAAACTTCGGTTTTATCGTTTGCAAAGTTTTGTAAGTAGATAAAGTTTAATATAGGGGTACTCACCTTACTAGCTTCATGATTAGAATATTCTAATTTACACTGTAGAAAAATATAAAAACAAATTTAATAAACGCGTTTGTTTCTGAAATGGAACGCTGATCGATGCTGGAACTCGAGCGCCATCATTTTTGCGGCAATTGAAAGCAACACTAAAATACATTACAGATTTCTTTAACTGGCAAATACGGTTTGGATACTCGAAATCTTAAGTTTTAAAACACTGTTAAATCGAAAAAAAAACATTTTTTAAAAAAATGTAAATGTATTTTAAAAAAATAATATACAAATCTAGTCTACGCCAATTACTAAAATATAAAGCATATATAAACTAAAGAATATGAAAAACAATATCACAACAAATATAAAGGTGTTCCTGTTGTGCGTTCTTAAATGGGCCAGCTGTTCCTTGTGAGTTTCAAGCAGTTTTTTCACTTCCTCCACCTCAATTTTCAGTAGTTTTTCCTTTTCTTCTGGCAATTTCCCTTCATTGAGCCTGTTTTCTACTATTTGTAGTCTTTCCTCGGTCGATTTTATAGATTGTTCAGCTTGCTCTATCTTTAAATTAAAGTTTATTAATTAAAATTAATATTTTGTTATATCCCAGACTTACTTTTTGCATTACTGTAGCCTTATCTAAAGACATGGTTGTTTGAAGTTATAATTTAAGGTAAATATAAAATATAAAAGGTTTTTCAGTAAGGAAACATATGTAAACAATAAATAAAAGAAACAGGTTAATGAATAAAATTCATTTACTTGCTTTTTTCATTTACTTAGGAAGTTCGTACGCTTCTCGTGAGATGGCGCTTATCCAGTTAAATGAAGTAAATTTACCAGAGAATTTACTTTTTAAGTATAGCCTCTGGTAGAGCTAGATTTTTTTAACAAATATTTTTATTAATATTTTCTAATTATATAGAAATAAAAAACCAGAAGTGAGTTTTAGCCTAAGAGCCTCCACAGACGCTAAGTTCTTTAACACAGGCGGAATGTGCAGGTCAGTTTGCGCAGTTTAACTGTGCGGTTTTACGCTATGCTAAATTGTTGCTTTTTAAGAGTTTGTTTATTTTTTTTTTCTAAAAGAACTTCTGAAATTATAAATCTTTTTAACAACTACTTCCCTATTTGCTTTCGAATCAATAAGCTACTTTAATTTTTCGACTACCTATATGAAGTGTTAATAAAAAGTTGCGGATTTGTTATTCCTGTCAAAATAAACTTTATTTTTTATTTTCCGTAGACATGGCATGCCTGTTTACTACAAATCGGCATTTTGTTTACAGTTAATAGCCCCCCATACACCAGAAGATTATTTGGCCTGCGGACTTGGTCTGCGATTCGATAAAACTGAGCGTCTGTGGGTGCCTTAAGGTAAGAAAAACAAGATAACTGATTTTTTTTAACTTTTTATTGCTGCTTTTTATATAACACTAATATTATTCTTAGGCAAAAATATCCACATGAAAACAAAATATACAATTAACACATTCTAAAAAAATATAGAACGGTGGAATGATATGTCTTCAAAGGCTGACTTTTAAATGCGCAGTCTTTTATGTTTTTATCTTTATTTACCATAAAGTTAAAAAACTAATGTAACTTTTGTAATAACAACTATTTGAGTCAATTAAATGCTTGAGTCGGTTGCTTTTGTGCAATTCCTATTTAACATAAACTTACAATTTTTTTTAAACAATATCTAAAATGTTTTCTAATTATTTTAAACTATTGGTTTAATTACTATACACACTGTACCCTCAAAATATACATAATCATATTTACTTAACATTTGATATTTAATATAAATATTTAATGTACAATATATTCAGGATATATATTATTTCATCAACACGTGATAAAATTTATATTTTTTTTAAATTTATAGTTCAATTTAACCCAACTTAAAACTTAAAACTATAATGTGAGTCAAAAGTTTTCTTTGTATTGTGCAGATACATCAAGTTATTCAATTTTACTAGCTGACAGTATACAAGGTGAGCCAAATTGCTTCTTCAACCTTTAACACATTTAATGACTAAAAAGAAACACAAATACTTTGATTTTTCTCATTTATATCCTCTTTAATAATCTGAATCTGAATAGTATGCTTTCCTAAACTTTGGTAGTTAAATTTTGTAAAAAATGACAAGTATACCACATAGATCAAACAATTTCATTTACCCTGTATAAAGTTTAGTTACAGTATTTTTTTTTTAAACAAAACTTATAACAATAAAACCAAATAATTTAGTAATAGGAAAAGTTTTGTAGAATGACTTTATATTCTATATAAGGCTTGAATTTTATTTTATATTATATTTATTAACGAATGTTTTACACGAACACATATTATTTAGACGTAACATGGTATGTTTGCTTTTTTATCATAAATATATAGTTATTATATTAAGTAGCTATTTGCTGTTGACACAGTATAGTGACACTGTATGTATATTTAAATTTACCTAAACATTTTATGAAGAAATAAAATTTTCTAATTATATAATTTTTTTCAATAACATCCTTCTTTTTCGCTGTGCCACTTTCCTTAAGCACATAAGCATTATATTATGTCTTTTAATGTGTGTATATAGGAATAATAGAAGTCACGAAAAATCATTCATCAGAGAAGAAACATTATCTTCTGTGATTATTTTTTTCTGTGCATTTGAGTAGCGTATGATCAGAAAATTTTATATATTAGTGAGTAGCTAAAGAAAAAATATAAATATTATAGATTAAAACTATCAAATATTATTCAAACCAACATTTAACGCGTGATATGAGCACTGAAAAAGAAGATTCAGACATATTTGTCGGATATTCTAAAAGTTATAGATTGTCCATAGTTAAACTTAAAAAAGTTGAAATTTCTAAGTTTGTAGGCAAACGAGTTGAACAAAATTTATCCAGATTTTTGTATATAGGTTTTGAGGAATTCACGAAATTTATTTTCCTACTTTTGAGGAAATACCCTGCATATTTAAGATAAGTCGTTAACTTATTCTTGGTTAGTTGTCATAGTAGTACTGTAAAACTTTGTCAGTTTATAAAATTGATATAGCAAAATAGATAAACACAATTTTACTAAGGTCAGCTGCCAAAACACTAATTATAAAATTTTAAATCACACTGGCCCGGAAGTTAGTGACCTACTTTGATGACCAACATCGGACAAAATGATTTTTTATGATCTTGAGGCATTCCACTTAAAGGTAATGAACTATCAACTTGGACACTTACAGGGTGGTCCGAAATGTATTCCGGAAACTTCAGCATCATATTCTGCTGATAAAATAAGTGAATAAATTCCTATAAATGTATATCCTAAAATGCTTAGTTTTGGAGATATAGGGTGTAGAAATTTTATTTTTATTTCGATTTTTTTCAAATAATTTCTGAAGTAACCTTAATATTTGAATGGCAATTGGTGGCTGGGTGACTCAAATCATAAATTTGAAATGCTTTTGTGCCAAATGTTTAACAGAAACTGTTTTATCATCATTTTTTACAGAAAACTTTGCAAAAAAATAAAATTTCACAAATTTATTATTTCAGTCAAATAACAACGTGTTTATTCTTTGTCAATAATGACATGTATTGACTATTTTCCATTCTAAATATGTTAAGAACGGTTGCTCGTAGCGATTTTTACAAAAATATATTTTTTACGTAAAAAATCACAGAGATGTAAATTTTTTCGCTCGGTAGTTTTATACAGGTACGGACAAAAAGTTATTACGCTTCAAAACAGTTAAAACACATGAAGGTGGCGCTCTCTACTATTAGGAGTCATATTGATATCAAAATCAAATTTCTCATGTCGAAAAACTACCAGACACTAATTTTCATCCAAATATTGACGTTACTTCAGAAATTATTTCGGAAAAAATCAAAATAAAATTGAAAATTCTATATTCTGTATCTCCGAAACAAAGCATTTTACAACATACATTTATACGAACTTTTTTACTTATATTTTTATCTGCAGAATATGCTGCCGAAGTTTCCGGAATACAGTTCGGACCACCCTGTATAGAGGTAGATAGGTAGAATAATGATGAAAAAGTAATAAAACAAAAGCTGAGATTTTACATTTGTGACACTTTCTGAATATCCACCCGTAAATAACGTAAAATTTTGTGAAACTACTAATAATATCTATAAACAGTCACTATCTCCCCGGCTACAAGCTCCTCGTGACATTTTTTTTGGCTCTCTTTCTTCGTCGACACTTCTTCTCACTACAACTTTCTTACTTCACTAAATTTAAGCGTATATAGTCAGTGTACATCTATCTAAAAACAGGTACAACCTAAGACTCCGCGGGTCTCATCTCGAACAACTGTTCCACCACCGTCGTGTCGGCCAGCGTGCTGATATCGCCCACGTCCCTGTCGTTCACCGCTATCTTCCTCAGTATCCTGCGCATAATCTTGCCCGATCTGGTCTTGGGCAGCGCAGGCGCGTGCTGAATGACGTCGGGCTGCGCGAACGGACCTATCCTCTCGCGCACGTGCGTCTTGAGCTCCTTGAGCAAGCGCTCGTCGAAAGTGGCCGTTTCCGACAGGGTGATGAAGCAGTAGAGGCACTCGCCTTTGACCAGGTGCGGTTTGGCCACCACGGCGGCCTCGGCCACGTGGTGGTGCTCGGTGAGGACGGATTCCACTTCGGCGGTGGACATGAGGTGGCCGGAGACGTTGAGCATGTCGTCGACGCGGCCCGTGACCCACAGGTAACCGTCGGCGTCTCTTCGGGCACCTGGAGATCAAAAGGGGATTTTTAGAAGCTTATCGGAAAGTATACAAATGTTTGTAGATGGAAATTTTTGAAGTCCCTTCTCAAGTAGCATTTTTAGACACAAAATCGAAACAAAATCTCTGCTGAGAAACGTTGCGAAACAGTTTTTTGATATATGATATGTTTCTAAATGATCTTAATGTCTTAAATTTTTCGAAACGTTTAAGAAACAGATGTGGCTCACATTTACAGATTTCGTACCTGTTTTGTGCCTGAAAAGTTTCCATAATTTATTTGATATTCTGTCAAATATGAGACCGTAACCTTACTTTATTGTTTAGATTTTGTTCCTCAGTTTTTACATTTAAGCATTCTTCAAGTTTTAATTGTACTATAATTAAAAAAGCAGAAGGAAGGGCATATGGTGAGTACAGATTTTTTTATGCGATTTTTTATACGCATTATAGAGGTGATTTGTTTTAGGAATAAATGTAATAACAGCCCAACAGGAGACCCAAGGAAAATGTTACCAGCAAACGTTTTTTTTCTCTTTTTTTCCACAATGGAATACATGTTTTTATGTTTTAATTGTGTTATAATAAGTAAATAAAAATGTTTTTTAATTATTTCGACCAGAAGTTTTGATTGGCGTTGTTGACAGGTGACTAGTTTTTGAAGACATTTCTACACAGATAGCGCTAAATCGAAACATTTTGGAAACAAGGTTTCCATTAATTGTCGATTTGTTTTCGAAGCACGAGTTTCTCTCTTTAGACACAAATATGATATAATGCAGATGATTTGTGTCCGACTCCATGTCAATTTTATAAAATAATGAATTAAATTCCGCCATGTTGGCTAGTGATAGCGTTTTTAACTAATTTTTTTTACCGGCTGTTGAGCTTTTAAACTCATAAGAACGCGTTCTACTACAAAATTATATCTATATATTTTTATTTTCAGAACCATGATATAGAAATAAAAATAAAAATCTATATTTCAAACAAAAATAATGATACTTATACAGGGTGTCCCAGAAATAAGTGCAAATATCTTAAGTGGGAGTATAGTTCAACCCCAGAAACACATCTATGAGGTTATTTTCGCGAAAAAAAAATTTTGAAAATTCGGAATTTTTTGAAAATTTTTTTGAAATTTTTTTTAGTTTTTATTTAAAAAACATAATTTCTTGATAATATGGCAACATAGGTAGTAGATTAAATTTACAAGAAAGAAAATCCAGAAAAGATCCAGTGGTTCTTTTTGTGTGGAAATTTTCAAAGTAAAATAACTCCGTTATTTTGGACTTATGTGAAAAACGATAGAGAGAAAATATGTTTCTTTTATCGAGATCTACCACCCCTTAAAATATTTGCACTTATTTCTGGGACACCCTGTATAGAAGGGGCATTAAAAATATGAAAGTACAATATTAAATTAAACGATGAATTTGCTTTTGCCAGACATTTTTTTGTGCGAGAAAACCTAAAAACAAAGATTTTAAGACAAAAAAATTATGGCATGACATTGTTGATGGTTGTTTTCCTTTTGAAATCCACACACAGACAGACTATTTTAGTTTGGTATTTTGTTTCTCCACATTTAGAAACAGTGGCTGCTGAAAACGGGAACATCTTGGACACAAATTGCAGAAAATGTTTCGAAACATTTCCTCTAAAAGTTTTGATTCCGCATCGAAACATTTCAGGAAACGGCTAGTGCCACCATGTTGGAACCACATGTAATAAAGCCATATAAAATATATAGGTTTCGAAAATGTTTCCTATTTGTGGCATACCGTTTCCATTTTGTGTCAAGAAACAAACACGATTATTAGAAACATTACCTAAAATGTGTCTGAAAATGCTCCTTGGGTTTATATTTGTGACCATTATTACATAAATTGCCGATCAACATTGTGCCTGTAAAACACACGAAAATGGGACACCATGTAGATCATACATTCCATGACGATCGAACAATAATCGTTCCATCGATAACTGTCTGTGGAATTCTTTAATATAATCCGGTAGACTTACCGTCGCCTGTGCAATAATAACCGGGGAATTTGGAGAAATAGGTCACCTCGTATCGATCGTGGTTGCCGAAGAGGGTGCGCATCAGGCCAGGCCAAGGGCGCGAAAACACCAGGTAACCCTCGCCTTCGCCCTTGATCTCCTTGCCGCTCTCGTCCAGCAACACGGGCTGCACCCCGAAGAAGGGAAATCCCTGGAAAAGACGGAGAAAATGCGGTTAGAACGGTGGAAAGTTACCCCGATTATACAGGGTGTTTCAATAAACATGTGCCATCTGTCGTGGGGAGACGTAGGTCCGATTCTGCTTTGTCTCGTAGCTACAAGGGGTTAGTCTTTTTTTTTTAATGTACATACTCAGATGGGCAAAAAACGTAACGAAGAAATTTTTGGTCAAATTTTTAAAGTGTTATATTTTTGTTATTTTTATAGCAATGATTTTTTTAGCAAACTGTATACAGGGTGGCGCCTCTCATACGCCGCGGAAGCTACAAGGAGAACGGTAGTTTATATCGAAATTAAATTTTGGGAGCATATATAGATTAACTGAAACCATTTTATAAAAATATATAGAATTATACAGGGTGTCCCCAAAAAAAGTTACACATCAAAGTTGTGTTTTTTCTAATGGAACACCCTATATATTAATTGATTTTCGGATTCTAGGAAAAAAATAAAGGTGAGTTTTATTAAAGAAGCATATACCTAAAATCTAAGGATTTCGACATATTTCACATTTTGTGAAAATAAAGAGTAAATTTTAACTTTCGATAACAGCTACCTAAATTTTAGTTGACCTTGTATAGCCTGATATTTAATTACAGTAACCATTGTATGTTAAACCAAATTGAAATTTAACCCGAAAAGTTATACAGGGTGAGACAAAATTAATATGGAACATTGGTACTTTTAAAAGCAAGTTACTCCTTTATTTTAAATGGAACACCCAATATATTTTTCCAGTTTTCAATGGGGAATTTATATATCTTCAAAATATTATTAAGGTTGCCTACCCCTCAGACAAAGATTTTCCCAGATATTTTAATTTTTATGATTTTGCGTCAGTAAATCTTTATTATTTGAAAAAATCTAGGTGGCTGTGTGATATACCATTTATTAATTTAACAAAAATTAAAGATTGTGGAGTAAAATACTCAAGGGTAATAAAAAATACACGTTTAAAACATATTTTAATTATTACAGAATTAAAACTAGATATAAACCTATAATTATGCGACAAAAATTAGCTGGATGAAATCAAATGCTCAAAATGCTTCCTTTCCTGTTAACTGCATAAAATGATTGTCTTTTCAAAAGGATCTTTTCATTTTAAAAAGCATATGTGGAGTTCTACCTGAAAAAGCAGCTCAATAATTTATCTCATGCTGTCGACACTAGTTGGTCGAACTTGGTCGGTTTTTTAAACACTGTCAACATATCCCCATAAAAAAAACAAGAAAAAAACCCAGACTAGATAAAATCAGGAGCATTTAACTATTCTATTAATTAGTTGGTGAATGCAGTGTGCATTCACCAACTAATAGAATCATATCAATTCTCTCTGATGTAGGATAAGTTTGCATTTTCGGCAAATTCCTGAGATTTTTGTTTGTTTTAACTGACAAAAAATTATAACTAGTTATTAAAGTTGAACTAATTAGACAGCTATGTTGAAGTAACGTCAGACATATCACAGCCACCTAGGTTTTATCAAATAATAAAGATCTACTCAGATCAAATCATGTAAATGAAAATATCTAGGAAAATCTTTGTTTGGTTTGGTTGGTTGCTCCATTAAATATCGGAATAATATACTGGGTGTTCCATTTAAAATAAGAGAGTAACATGCTTTTAAAGGTGACCAATGTTCAATATTAATTTTGTCTCACCCTGTATAACTTTTTGGATCAAGTTATAATTTGATTTAAAGTAGAATAGTTAGTTTAACTACATATTAGGCTACACTGGGTAAATTCCAATTTAGGTAGCTTTTATTGTAATTTAAAAATTGTTCTTTATTTCTAGAAAATGTTAAATATGTCAAAAACCTTATATTTTAGTCATATACTTCTCTGATAAAACTCACCTTTATTTTTTTCCTAGAATCCGAAAATCAATTAATATATAGGGTGTTCCATTACAAAAAACACAACTTTGATATGTAACTTTTTTTGGGGACACCCTGTAGAACTCCCTATATTTTTAAAAAGTGCCCTGAATTAACCTACATATGCTCACAAAATTTCATTTCAATACAAACTGTCGTTCTCCTTGGAGCCTCCGCGGCGTATGAGAGGCGCCACCCTGTATAATTATATCAACTTTAATTCGTAAACTAAATTTTTTATAAAGTTTAGTATTTGGCATATTATACCGGGGTTAATCGAGGGCTTGTTTTTTACCCTAACTTTAAAACACCCTGTGCAATAATTTCGTGTTTAAATTTTCTGATTTCTGAGCATTTTGTTTTTTGATTCGTGTCAATACATGTTTTGGTTAATTTTTAAGAGCGAAATGAACTGATCACGATCAATTTTCAATTTTTTCAATTATCATTACTTTTTGATGTAATTTTTTAATATGGCGAGTTGGTTTTGGAGATTACGTCGCATTGGATACTCTATACTGAAGTTAACGAAAACGTTAAAGACTAACGATACAGTCCTGGAATTAATAAACATTCATAACGATAGCAGAACTAAGAATATTAAAGAAAACATCTGTAATACTCAAGTATACAAACAGAAAAAAAAATATAAAAAATACCCTAATACTTTGTATTGCCTCCCTTGGCTGCTATAACCATAGATAAAAGAAAATAATCTACTATTAAGATGAGATATGAAACTTAATAGTAAAATTTTGGGTCAAAGCGCCCCTCCGTGTTTTTAGTAGAGACTACGTTTAACCCAGCACCTTCGCCTTTTCTGCTATAAATGTTTTTTATTTTTATATTTGAATTAAAAGGATTTATTTTTAAAGTTACCCTGATATATCAGAGTAACTTTAATAAAACATAAGAATATATATATATATTTTACAGTTTATTTTTTTATTTATCTGACAGAGTTTCATGTAAATGATCGTAAGTCGACTGGCTGTCTAATGAATAGACCGAGATTTATAGATTTTAAAGTGAACGAAAAAAAAATCAAACAACGAATACATACCATATATTTTTCTTTTATCTAAGATACATGCCTTATCGTCTTTTGGAAACACGTGCATTTTTGCAGTTTTGTTAGTTTCTTTGCCAGATGCAACACAACAAGAAAACATCATTTTTACAGTTAATAAATAATAAAACTATTTCTAAATATGATATTTAAAATTTAGATAGATAGAAAATTAAATAACAAACCGGTATTTGCAGACGGAGGCCCAAATTCAATAAAAATCAAAATTTTTTCTGCGAAAATCGGGCTTTTTTCACTGAAAAGGTATTTTTTGATTTATCAGCAATCATTGTCAAGTTGACAATATACAGGGTATTTTCTAATTAGTCTAAAAAATTGTGGTGTGATTCCTCATGTGTTCTTAAAACAATTTTTATATAACCATTAGGTCTAAAGTACTTCCTTTCTGATCTACAGGGTGTTAAAAATTTTAAAAAATCGATTTTTTTGCTTAACATAAATGGTACACCACTGCTTTTTTAAAGAAATTATATTTTTTTCTTGACTGGCCATCCTTTGTCAACAAAATTGATCTTTTGAGTTTTTCTTGTTCTTCAAACGGATGTCGAGAAAAAAATAAATATACTTATTTAGAGCCCGCCTTAATCCGTTTTCTAACGATTTTTTTATTTTTTAGAGTAATTAGGAAACACCCTGTATGTGCATATCACAGGCAGCCAAATAAACTAGTAACCTCTAAAAATGATTTTTCCTACCACTAGCGACATACCGTGTTTTTAGTGTGTACTAAATTATTTTATCAAAATTTCACCATATAAGTTTTCAGGCAATGGCTATAACTGCCCGTATACGTCCGTTCATACTGTCATTGAAGCTGCATATCATATTGCTTTATGCTTTCCCATTCTTGTGTAAAGTGACTTTTACAAAAATAAGTCTTTTGTAATTATCTTAAATAACAATACTTTTTTAAATTTGCTGTAGATCAGATTTATAAGTTGTTTTAGTGCCTGAAGAAGCGACAATAAAGTCGCGAAACGTCGCATAAAATATAATTGTTTCCTTTGATCTTTCTCAAATACTCACGATTTTTTTCTACATACTAATTACAGGGAACAAACAATAGTCATGATATTATTATCTTTCCAGATACTTACTGCGGCTCCGGGTTTCATAGGTAGTGCCCCTGGTAACGTGGTTAAAACATGTCCTCCAGTTTCGGTCTGCCAGAACGTGTCCACGATGGAACATTTTTCGTGTCCCACTTGCTTGTAGTACCACGTCCAGGCTTCCGGATTGATGGGCTCTCCAACTGAACCCAGTACTTTGAGAGATGACAGGTCATGCCTGTAAGTATTTCAGTAATAGAATTAATATGATGATTTTAGTCATAGGTAGATTTAGTTGATAAAGTTAGCGTTAGTTTTCAAAATGGAATACCTACATTTTGGAAGAATCTTGTTATTACAATCTTTTCTACCAATCGTATGTCTATATTAATAGTTATTTTTTATACAAGACGATAAAATGTTATTTTATCGTCGTGTATAAAACAGTATTTTTTTCCACTGCGAGTTACGTTTTAAAAAATATTCAGAAATTATTATTTCAAGGAATTTATTACGAGTAGAAAAAATATTGTGCTGAGTTGGCGTTGGTTTCTATGTTATTTGACAAATAAATAAAGCTGTCTCTTTAGTTGTCAGTTTTGAGTCAATATTTTTTAATTCTCTTTCGTGTCGATTGCTGATTGAATTGGAGCCAGAAATGGCTCAAAATAAAATAAGTAAGTTACCAACAGATATTCAGGCTGAGGCGACAAACGCCATATCTAAACTACTTCCATTTAACAACCTAACATAAGGCAATTTTAATAGTTTGATATGGAAAAAAATTATATATTTCTGAAATATGAAAATTAGTTAAGAAGAAAAATAAGTTAATTTATTATTTCTAAAGCGCCAAAAATATGCAGCATAAATATACAGCATTTTAGCATACCTTTTTACCAAGTTATCTCCAAACTTCATCAGTGCTCTGATAGCTGTTGGAGCTGTATAAAACTGGTTCACCTTGTATTTATCTATGACAGCCCAAAACCTGTCATTGTCAGGATAGAACGGGGTACCTTCAAACTGAAAAAGAGAAAAAAAAAGGAAAAATTATTTCAACTGATATTTGTCACAACATATTAAATATAAGTAGAAATTTTTAATAATACTTATTGTTTAGTCATACATTATTGTTTCTACAAATTTAATTTTTCTGAATTTTCAAGATTCAAAGTCAAAAAACGTGGAAAATTGCAAATAAAAAACATAACTAAAATCTGCCAAAACTCAAAGAACGTCAATGAATTGACATTTTACAATTTTCGATCGATAATCAGTAGTTGCCAATATATAATATTAAAAACTCCTATGACAGTATTGCCAACGATTTCAGATATTGCTGATGGCTCTGTATATTATTATAGCGTTATATTTTAGTTTTTTAATATTTGTATACAGGGTGTGCGAACTGCATTCCGGAAACTTTGGCAGCATATTTTTCCGATAAAAATAAGCAAAAAAGTTCGTATAAATGTATGTCCTAAAATGCTTAGTTTCGGAGATATACAGGGTGTAGAAGTTTCATTTTTATTACGATTTTTTCCAAATCATTTCTGAAGTAAGGTCAATATTTGGATGAAAATTGGTGTCTGGCAGTTTTTTGGCATGAGAAACTTGATTTTGATGTCAATGTGTAGGGGGCGCCACCTACATGTGTTTTAACTGTTTTGAAAAGCAATAACTTTTTGTTCGTACCTGTATAAAACTACTGAGTGAAAAAATATACATTTCCGTGACTTTTTACGTAAAAAATGTCTCTTGGTAAAAATTGCTACGAGCAACCGTTCTCAAGATATTTACAATGGAAATAGTCAATACATGTCATTATTGACAAAAAATAAACACGTTGAATAGATACCTAGTTATTTGCAGGACCGTATCTGGTTCAACCCCCCCCCCCAAATTATGGCCAAATTTTTTTAAAAAGTAATGATCATTAAGTAAGGAAGAATGAAAGAAAAAAGAAGAAGAAGAAGATGGATGAATATACATTATACACCCTAACCCATAGAGAAAGATAGTAAAAAGAGAGTGGCAGATTAAATTAGGACGAATGGCATCGCATTTTGTTTTCCTGTCGCGCAACTCAGATCTCCTAAATTTGTCCAAATTGAGCTACGACTGATGATTTTGCTTCCATCTTTCTCTAACGCAACTGCTTAATTACGTGTTAAAACTGCTTAACGTTACTTTTCTAAAAATTTGTTTTCAATTAAGGTTTGAGTGTAGCCCACAGGGATTTTTTTATTATGCTTTTTTCCTAGCAGTTTTGACCCCCCCCCCCGCAAATTTGGTCTAGATACGGCCCTGGTTATTTGACTGAAATAATAAATTTGGGACATTTTTATTTTATTTTAAATTAATCATAATTTTTCTGCGAAAAGATGGTGACAAAACAGTTTCTGTTGAACTTTTGGCACAAAAATATTTCATATTTATGATTTCAGTCTAATAGCTATTTAGTCAACATGTTTAATTTATGTCAATGATGACAGGTATTGATAATTTCGATTCCAAATATCTCGAAAACCAATACTCGTCGCGATTATTACCAAAAGACCTTTTTTACGTAAAAGACGTCGTAAATGTACATTTTTTTACTCTGTAGTTTTATACAGGTACAGACGAAAAGTTATTACTCTCCAAACCAGTTAAAAAATATGTAAGTGGCGCCCTCTACAAGTAGGAAACATATTAACGTCAAAATCAGATTTCTCATGTCGAAAAACTCCCAGACACCAATTTTCATTCAAATATTGACCTTACTTCAGAAATGATTTTGAAAAAATCGGAATAAAAACGAAACTTCTACACCCTGTATCTCCGAAACTAAGCATTTTAGGACATACATTTATACGAACTTTTTTACTTATTTTTATCTGCAGAATATGCTGCCGAAGTTTCCAGAATACAGTTCGGACCACCCTGTATATTTTTGTAAAATATAATAAAAATTATTATGTTTTGGGGAATCTTATTATATATTTTATAATACATTAAAAAAGAAACAATATACCGGGTGTTTTTTAAAACTGACTCACATCTATAACTTTTTTATTTTCTCCGTTAGTATATGGCATAAGTCAGGAATGATTGACGTATTCAATTAGTTTTACTTCCTGTTTCACCGGAAATTACTACAACTTTTGATTTTTAAATGGTACCCTCGATATTTTTTACTTTATTTGCTAGAAAATGGCATTCTCATTAGAATTGTGGAAGTATTTTTTAACTAAAAAAATGCTATATGTTTTCTTATGTTTAGCGCAAATAAACCTTTTTCTAAGGTATGTTTCCATGCAAATCATCTAAAGTCGACAAGCTGATTATGAATAAACTGTGATATAACTTTAGAACCTAAAAACAAGATCTAAGGGTGTGACAGTAAATGCGGTTAAAATGTTCAATGCATTCCACAAATTAATAGCACTATTGTATATAAATGTCCTTAGCATATATTTAAAAGATCAAAAGTCAGAGAAAATTATGAGGAACCAAAGTATACACATGGAACCATGGCACACAAGTGCGTAAATATACTCTTTGTAACGTAGCCATCTAACGTAAATATACGTAAAAGTACGAAACTAAAAATAAGGCGACTTGGGAACTAGAAAAAAATAACTAGTAATGCCTCTAAACTCATGTTGTAAGTGGTACGCATAAATATGCATGTGAAATGACGTTGCAAATAATGGTTCGATATTATTTCCATTCGTGTGATATTGTTTGGTAATTTTTATTTAAAAAATTTGGCATCACATTCCTTGAAAAAATTTGAATATTTTTGACGTGTACAGAACTAGAAATCAAAACAGAAACATCTTAGAAATGGAACATGTGAATATATTTCAGAAATGGAGCAAGTAAATTTAAAATAATCTAATTAATATTTCTTAAAAAGGTTTTTACTCTTTGACACCGTTTTTTTAATTGTATGGTTTCAATATAAATATTTCAGGAATATCATCATTTTACTGAAAAAAACTAATAAATGTTGGCAAATTAAATTTTTAATATACAGGGTGTCCCAGAAATAAGTGCAAGCATTTTAAGGGGTGGTAGATCTGGTCAAAAGAAACGTTTTTTTTTCTTTACCATTGTTCAAATAATTCCAAAATAACCGAGTTATTTTACTTTAAAAATTTAAACAAAAAATGCTTTTTTCTTTAAATTTTGAGAACCACTGGATCTCTTTTGGATTTTCTTTCATGTAAATTTAATCTACTACCTGTGTTGCCATATTATCAAGAAATTATGTTTTTTAACTTAAAACTAAAAAAATTCCAATTTTTTTTTAAAAATACGAAATTTTAATTTTTTTTTTTCGCAAAAAATACCTCATAGGCGTGTTTCTGAGCCTAAAATATACTACCAGTTAAAATACTTGCACTTATTTCTGGGACACCCTGTATAAAAAAAAAAACGTTTGAAACTAAGAGCGCACCTTTTTTTCTTATAGTCTTATATACGGGTTAAAAAGGCATCACGCTATGAAATAAAAACACTTATCAAAACTCGAAGTAAAAAGAGTAGCAGTGGCAACATTGTGACATGCATTCGTCAAATATTTTGATGACGCGCACGCCAACTTTGATTGATTTTCCTATAATGAACAAATCGATACTTTAATCTATCGATATATTTAAACATCCCTATTTAAACGGTAATGAAAAGAAAATTGAATATCAATTAGTGAAATTGCTATTTGTTAATTACAATACTGGCATATAAAACGCACGATAATTAAGTAATGATGTAACGATGACTTGTTTATTGAAGAATTAATTAATAGAAAAAATGCCATTCATTTATTTAAGTCATTATGCATTTTCAATATGGATATTAATTTGTTTGACATACTGGATGTTTTTTTAAATATTATTTTATTATTTTACTAGAGAGTTGACCTGGGTAAGTTCGTACAGCCTAACAGTGAATTCAAGTGAAGTTTTTTATCAATCTTATGGTACGCACGATTGAGACCAACCGATTTGCCAGTTCTGTTCTCTTTATTTTTCTATATATGTTACAGTATTTTTCTAGATTTGAATATGCTGTTTCTCTACTATTTTCCTACTATTTGAATTTCAATTCTATTGTGTCTAGTATGTCACTGATTTGCAGTGGGCATCAAAACAAAAAAAAACCTTTCTACCCGAAGGTGTAAGGTATACTAAATTAAATAAATTTACTAAATTGCTACACTATACACAAATTGTTTCCATTTATTTTTGTCTCTTGCTAAACTTTTGACTTCTGTTAATGTTAGTCCTCTATCCTGCACTATCTTCTCTATTGTGTCATTCCATGATTTAGTTGGTCTTCCCCTTGATCTCTTTCCCTGCATTTTAGCTTCAAACACGCCTTTTACTGGTATGTCGTTGTTCATTCCAATCAAATGTCCATACCACCCTTATACCACCTAAACTGACATTGCTCAATTTTATTCAGAATCGAATCTACTTTTAGTTCCTCTCTTATAAAGCTGTCTCTTATAGTCTATCTTTTCTTGTTACCCCAAGTACTCTTCGTAGATATAACATCTCCATTCTTTGGATCTTACTCTTCAATCTTTTGGTTAATACCCAACTTTCACAGCCAGATGTCAACATCGGTATGAATACTGTCTTGCATATACTCATCTTCACTGCTCTCGAGATTTCTTTTTTATTTGAGAAACTGTTCTTAATGATCAATTATTATAAATTAATAAGCCATAAGCGTGCGTGACGTGAGCTGTCAATTGTGGAAGATGGCGGAGTTCCAAACCTAATATAAGTATTTAAAATTTTCGTTTGATTCGTCTCTACTCCGAATAGCAGAATAACTATTAAAATATCGGAAAAATTCCCAGAAAAAAAATATACAGAAAATTAAGTTTTAAATAAATGACAGTTCACGTCACGCACGCTTATTTATATCCACTGCAAATCAATATAAAATACTAGACATTATAAAATAGAAATTCAACAGAAAATAGTGCGAAAGTAACATTAACAAACCACAACTGAGAGCCAGCTGTTGATTTTTGATGTCAAAGCAAATACTGACAAATACTAACATCAGAGTCAAATTTTACTTTTATTTCATTTTATCTATGACACTATACAGTATGTCCCCGGATTGTTATTACATGAAGAAAAACTTTTTTATTATTGACATTTTGTGAAAAACCCATTCTTCTTAAAAAAATTGTTTGTTTTAAAATGGTTAGTCCCGTTTAAACTTTTCAAAACTTCCATATCCTTTTAGAGAAAATTAAAGAAAAATTGAAAATGTGGTTGAATTTTTTCAAAGTCCTAAAAATTAAAACGCGATTCTATGGTAATATAGTTTTATATAATCATATTTTTGATGTTGTTAAAGTATCAAATTTTCCGATAACTATTATCACCCTTTCCGTAGCACTGAACACTAACTAAATAAATTTCTCTTCTTCTCTAAAATCTTTAACATTTTAAAACAGAAAAAAATATGACGTTAATTAAAATTCTGTCAATAATAATCTATCAAAGAATGAAAAAGAAATTATATTACCATAGATTTTCATGTTTTTTTTAATTTTCTCTAAAACGTTTTGAAAAGTTTAAACGGCATTAACTATTTTAGACCAAGCAAAAACTTTTATGAAGAATTAATAATATAATAATAAAAAAGTGTTTCCTCTTGTAAAGACAATCCGGGGACATACTGTATAATCTAGAATTGATACTTACCAACACAGAGGTAGCTGCATTGGCTAAAGGCCCGTACACACCATAACTGTGCCCAGTAATCCAACCAACATCAGCGGTACACCAGTAAACATCATTCAGTTTGTAATCGAACACGTACTTGAAGGTGGTGGCAGCGTAAAGCAAGTACCCTGCGGTGGTGTGAAGTACCCCTTTGGGTTTCCCCGTGGAACCGCTGGTGTACAACATGAACAAGGGATCCTCGGCTTGCATCCATTCTGGGTAGCAACTGGTAGAGGCCTGGGGTACTACGTCGTGCCACCAGATGTCCCTACCTTCGGTCATGGGTGTCTAAACAGAAGTTGAGAGAGATTCTAGCTAATTCGTTACTTTGGATAACAAGATTAAGGAGTAATGATTAAGGAAGGATTATATCAAAAATCTTGGGTTGTATTCAGTTGCAAAACCAGGCGAACCAGACCGGTAAACCACGGTAAAGAGCGGTTCCTGAGAGACATCGGTTTGATACGGAACGGTTTGGTAAAATACTGGAAACGTCAAATGTTGACGTTTTCTAAATTTCAATACCTCTATTATAAAAATTATCTTTTATGCGTTTTTAATGTAAAATATTCTCTGTTTTTACGTTCGCTTCTTCTTTTCAATGGAGTTTAATATTGAAAAGAACTTTATTAATAAACTGTTAAACTCGTTAGACAGCTCAATTGAAGATTTGCAGGTCCAATATTAAAACAGATCAATAATAAATAAACAAATCTAATCAATATTTATATTTTTACAGCTTACAAAATATTCACGATTACTTGTTGTCTTGTTTTTCAGGTTTTTTTTAAATAAATGTTCCTGACTTTAAGAAAAAATGGCTACATGATAAGTTTAAATGGTCCTCAAAAGGCACTCTATTTAGTTAATGAAATCTATTTACCTTTACTGCCTACCTTCATTGCTTTTGGATGTAAATACAAAATATTATTACAAATTTCAGAAATTAAATGATAATTTCACTCGAACTTCCAATATTTGCTTGATTTCTCTAACATAAATGACATTAATTGACAAACAAAATCAGAAAACCCAGCCTTCTCGCGCTGGTTAGTTTGGTGACAGTTCGTTATAACCGAATTTTTCAGGAACCGTGTTCCGTAATTAGAAAAGTTTCAGGAAACCGATAGAAACGGAACATAAAGCCATAACCAAGGTAAGCAACGGAATACACCCTTAATGTCGAAATATTTGGCACGTTAGTGTACAACCTTCCACGAAAGGAACTTTATAGAAGACTGGCACGTTTGCCGTGTAAACAACCTACAATCGCTGGATGATTTTCGTTTTTCATGAATGGCTTAGTACTTTCGTAGATCATGAGAGTGTGAGACACGATCGTGCTTCAGTACCCGTGTCAACCTAGCTTTAATCTTTTTATTCAAAGATTCGTTGTTAATAGAAATGTCCCTCTTACCCTGTTGTTCTGTCTCTGAGGTGCCGATCCCTTGGGAGTGGTCACCCGCTCCAAATGCGACACCACGATGCAGTGGTGCACGTTGTGGCCTTCGCTGGCGCACCTCTGCATGGCGTGGTCGCAGATCGTTTTCAGCTGGAGCAGCTTCTCGCCTCGCCACACGCCATCAGCTGTCACGATGACGCGCGCCTCGCAGTCAACAATCCTTTCGGCGAAGGAATCTGATGAGAATCCTGCAAACTAACATTTAAAAGAATTGTTAGAAGCGTTTGGGAATACCTATTAAAATAAGATTTAAACTAGAAACTAGGCCACATATCAATGGAATTATTGCAATACTTTTGTAACTTTTTGGGTTCCTTAATTATGATGAAGAGCAACGGCCTAGCTACGTTGAAACACCGGTTGCCATTAGAACACCCGAAGTTAAGCGACGTAAGGCGATACTGATGGATGGACGGGTGACCGGTTCGAAACTCTGTATCGTGCTGTTGTTCAAGGGAAAAGTGTAAAATCTATTGATACACACTGCTCATTCACGCCCGCCGGTTCGAGGCCGGATGAGATCGGATATCTCGTGAGTAAGAGTTGATTTAGACACTTGCCAAGTCGGTAGGCCATTAACCATGATATGGCCGAGGACCGCGGTTCGGATTCCGCGTAAACAAAGTAGGGCTTAGCCCGATCCTGTCAAATTAAGCCACACCCAAAATTCCAAACTCACGTGCTTTGATTAAGGCTTGATTAAAGTTTGCAGAGCTTCAGCATTTGCCATAAAATAGCGAGCAATTTGTTACAAAACCATATAAATTATATATCACTGTAATCACAAAATTTCAATCTATTTCCGTATTGTAACGGAATTTTAAATTATGTCTTTATTTTCGAGAAAATTTAGTCCAAACACAAGGAATATTTTGCTGATGTTTGACTATCAAAATCTTAAAAATAAATAAGTTGTCTAAAAATGTGCTACAATACGGATATAGTATAATCCTTTATCTTCAATTTCCTTCTTCATTTGTGTAAAAATACCTAGGCAGTTTTACATAAAACGTTAAATGCCGAACGCTTATTTTCCTACTTTTTCGGAATAGTGAAATGGACTCTTAAGGGCCTATTGTGTTTCAACAGAAGAACTACATAACTTTTAGAAATACAGTGATCGATTTGATTGAAAACGTTACCGAAACGTGCCATGCTTCCTAAAAATAAACATGTTTATTTCTGATTCTATCTGTTGGCCTTATTTGCCTTAGATAACGAGGAAAATGTTGTTGGGAAAAGCGAACAACATCCTATTTTCGGACGCTTTGTTGACACGTAGGTTAGGTCATTGTGTTTTCGAGTTAAAATAATATTGTAAATAATCATAATAGTAAATAACAGCCTCAATATTTCAAAAGTTAAATAATAGGACTTCTTAAAAGGCATATTATACAATGTGTCCATTAACATAATGAGTATTTAACACTATTTGAAAAAATAGGACAATGCAAATTTCATATTGTCATTGGTACTTTTTCCTTCTCTATAATTTAAATCTATCTGAGAGTAATCTAGTTTTTTTTGCTAAATATGAAAAATTTTAATTAATAAACACTAAAACTGCATATTTTGATTTTTTTCACTTTTCAAAGCTTTCAAATATACGAATTATTGAATTGAAAAAAAAATCTCAGATAGATTTTTTAGGAAATTTTATGCTCTACAAGAATCCGCGATATAAAAATTTTTATCGCTTTATTTTTTAATCGCTTTTTATTCAAAATCTGAGCCAGATAGATATAGGAAACCCTAATACAGTTTGAAAGAGCATTTAAATCTGCTTCGACTTATTTAAAAAAATACATAGTGTTGCATTTGAAATAACGAAGTTTTTATGTAAAATAAATATTTCAAATAGACCAGCAATTTTTGATACCCCTGTATACATTTAAGAAAGCAATGAAATTTTTTAGTAAAGTTTATTTCTTTGGCTTGAAAGTCAGCGCAAGAATTAATTCTGAAAAGTAATGTACGAGGTGTTGACAAACTTTTTTATTATACCATGCATATTTAAATATCTTTAAATATCTCAAAATCCAAAGCTTTTAAACATATTAAACCTTTATAATAAATGCCTTATTTTATGTCCAAGAATCCAAAAATGAAATGAAAAACCGGGTGTTCCACAAGAAAATATATAACTTTGGTATGGATCTGACACACCCTGTATATTTCAAAATAATTTTAAATTATGCACATTGCCTTCCCACATATACCCATAAAATAATTTGTTTCTACATCTTTCCGTTTTCGTATAATCAACCGAGGCGAATGAGGTGCATCGCCCTGTATAAAAAAGCATTTCTATTTTTTTTATATCTCTATTAACCAAAAGTGAAGGTGTTCTTGGCAAAAAGAACTGTTTGTTATTTAGTTGGTTTTTATGTATTGTGATAGTATTAAAAAATTATAAAAAAAATATTGAAGGACTACAAGATCGGATATCGATAAACTTGAGTACTACTTCCGCAATTTGGGCTTGGCGTACAAGAAAGTTCATTTCTCGGTTCCTCGCCCATATCGATTGCGGTACTACCTTAATACAAGGTCATGGTATTAAGTTCGTCATTTTTTTTATATGTAAAAACGGTACCAGATTTGTTTCTTTCAAATTGGGTACAAAGGTTAGAGAATTTGCCGATAACCTGTTTGGATAATTTCTTATTAGTGCGTCATTTACACGTTACAACTTTCAACAAAATTTTGAAGAAAATTTACGCATTTTTCAGTATAAGTTTCTGTGTTACGAAATCTAATAATTTGGAGATTGAACATAATTTTGACATAATATTATAGCTCTATGTAAATGGCTTATCGTCGCTTAGTAAGCTGAGGGCTAGTCCACACTTTGCTGAAATTATCTGAATATTTTTGTCACTGTCTGTGTTACCTAATTATGATGAGTATATCAGGGTTTGGTCTCTTTCTTATCTGTAGTCATGAAATTGACTATTTTGGTAAGTCTGACTGGAAAATTTATTTTATCCAACTAAGTTACCACAGTTTACGTCGTTTGTCGGATGTTTCGGATCGAAATCTTCCATGATTCTTTGGACAGACTACAGTACTGTACTAAAAACAACTTCAAGAACAGTACATTTGCCAGGCTCATCATCAGATTGTATGTATTCTACAGTAATACTATCAGAATATATTCTGCCGATTCTTCTTCTGGCTCACAGAATCTGCACATGGCTTCATCTGTGGATCTCATGAGCCCCATGCCTATTGAGCTTGCAATACTCTGCATCAAAAACTGGGATCTATGTTTCAAGAAGTACATCACCTCTATGGTTACAAACCAAAAAAGGAACAAAATATACCCCATAAAATATAAAAATGAACCAAAACAACTCTTAAAATGCCGTAAAAATAATTTTTGGCAGAGATATATCTCCAGGATCTCTGTTTGTTGCTAACATAAATTTCTTTCAAGTAAAAAACAGTTCTGAATTTTGTCTCCCTGAACTTTGAACCCTACAGTTTTTTACACAAACTGAGCGGATATTTTAATTTTTTGTATTCCCACAATCCTCTGAAGATTGTTGTATTATCTGGCTTTCCGAGATGCATATAGTATATATGCTTTCCGACATTCTTTTTTTCATAGGTTCATTGTAAAAATATATAGTACATTATATAAATCCATAATGAAATAACATATTTTGTATAGGCATTGTACTTTACTCCAATCTTTACATAAATTAAGTTACATTCTACTATTCTGTTGAATATTTAAATCCAAATTCTTGATGACGTATGTGAATACAGTGTGACACAATCACAAAGATAGCACTTATCATGGCCCCTTTCTGGGTACATTTTCTGCATCCAAATGTTTTTTTTTGCGTTTATTATTTAGAATTAATCAGTTTACACTGTTCACAGATTCAATTTTTTTAAAGGAATAGCAATTACAAAATTTTATTTTAATTTGTATGGTAAATTTATTTATTAATTAATTTATAAAAAAAAAACCATGGGTCTTATGAATAAAAGTTAAGCAAATGCTTTTACTTAAATTTCTTGAAATAGACTTATACAATTTGTAAACAACCAACAAAGATAGTTCTATAGAAAAAGCAATTGCTTCTCTTTATTCATCAGGCCCCATGTCTAGGTTCTTGGTTTTTTTATATTCCTGTTCATATATTAAAACATCAATAAACACCCATTAATCACTCTTTCTACGTAAATAATTTATTTATAATTATTAATACATTTATCCATGTCTTATGTGCGTTATAGTGGAAAATTTAATTTCTGGTTTTACGTAATCCAAAAGTAGGGATAAATGCGTCAATTTTAAAAAACTTTTCGAGTCAAAATTCTTATCAATTATTTATAGATTTTAATTTTGTTTTACATTTATTATTAATACTATTGGTATCGCGTTTGTAACGCCAAAACTAGGGTCCAAGGCAACGAAAAAGTCGACGCACTAGCAATGCAATCATCATCAGAGTACTATCTTGGTCCAGAGCCAGTACTGGAAATGCCCAAATAGTAGTGCAGTAAAACTCAGGATCAGGGAAAAACAGACCGTCCTAAAGTGCAGATTACAACAGAACTCTTGACAGGACATATATGCCAAGTGTTACCTGAACAAGCTCAACCTGTATCAAGGAAGTCTTTGCTGAAAACTCTGCTATAAAGATTTTGAAATAACAGAGCACATGCTACAGGGAGACTCTGGATCACAAGCAACATTTTCTGTTTGGGAGAGCAAAACTAGAACCTGAGGAACTATGCTCACATCCCATCAAGGAAGCGCACAAGCTGATGCAGAGCATAGGGAGAGAGGAGCTAAGGAGAAATATTTTCGTGCATTAAAAAATGGTCATAAAAAAGGGAAGACTTAAGATGGCGCTGCTGCAGCTAAAACCTAAAATTTAAAATATTTGGGCCCAAAATTTTTAGAACAGGAAATGATTCAAAATAGAATTCAGATAAATATTTGACGTGTAGGCGCGAGTTTCAAAAAATACAAATTTTATTTTCATGTCACATGAAATACATTATCGATTTTTATTCAGCAGCAATAGACTGGGCCTCTAATATATAAAAATAATTGTTTTTTATTCTAAAAAATAAAAACAAAGCTTTTTTGGGTAATGTTTGGTTATGTTTTTTTCTCTTATCTATGATGACTTTTACTTTTCATTTTTTAGAGCGTCATTAGCGCCACTGTTGTCATTTGATGAACCCTTATTCTTCCCATTTTTGTGACCACTTTTTCAAATAAAGTCCCATAGGAGATATTTCTCCTCATCTCTACATTCCGTAGTGCAGACCTAGAAACGGGACAAACATAATAAATAAGCCTTACAGGTCGCAGTATAGGACAACCCCATAATATTAAGGGAAAAAACGTCAAAACTATGATCAATTTTGACCAAATACGAGTGGTCTTTATCAAACAGCACTCTTAATTGTATGATATTAAAAGATGTTTGAAAAAAAATATTACATCAATATTGTCACTGTGATTTTGAACTATTTTAGTGTACTTACGACTAGAGAATGAACAGCTCCTATTCTGGCGCATGCCAGTAACGTTATCACAGCTTCTAAAATCATGGGCATGTAAACGGCTACCCTGTCGCCTTTTTTTACGCCGAGGGACTTGAGTACGTTGGAGAAACGACATACTTCCTCCAAAAGTTTCTTGTAGGTCAGACGGCTGTAGTCATCAGGATGATTGCCTTCCCTGTAAGAGAAAAAATAGTATGTAAGCTATAGGGTTGCCATCTGTCCTATTTTTGATCGTATACTGTCTTCTTTTCTCTCACGTATTGAAAAAGGCCTTTTTTATACATCAAACTCAAAAAAAATATAAAAAATATTCATCTAGCGCCAAAACGCTTTTTTCTCTTTACCGTTTTTCAAATAACCAAGTTGTTTAACTTTAAAAATTTCCAAAAAAAATGATTTTTTGCTAAAATTTTGAGAACCACTGGATCTTTTCTTGATTTTCTTTCATGTAAATTTAAGCTACTACCTATGTTGCCATATTATCAAAAAAAAATATTTTTAACTTAAAACCGGAGAATATTGGCTGTAGAGATGGATTACTTACGTAGAAGCGCTAGAGTATCCAGATTACAAAGAGTGAGAAACGAGAAAATCAGAAACAGAACATCGGCACTAGAAACAGTAAGTAATTCAACGAATAGAGAAAAGACGTTTGAGATGGTTTGGTCATCTAATGAGGATGGAGGACACAAGATGGCCAAAACGTGTATTCAAATGGTCACCCACTGGAAGAAATAAAAGGGGACGCCCGCGTCGGTCCTGGAACGATGGTATACGACAGGAGATGAGAGATCGGAATATCGAAGAAGATCTCGTGTACGACAGAGATGGCTGGCGATTGAGACTGGGAAGGCAACATTTTGTTGTATAATACAGTAACTGTATAGTACAGTAACTGTATTTTTATAAGATTAATCCCAAATATATATACAGGGTGTTTCAAAACAAATGCGAAAAACTTCAGGGGGTGATTCCTTGTTCAAAATAAAGGGTAGTTTGCTTCATAAACGTTGGGTCAAAAGTCAACCATTAGGGAGATATCGCGGTACAAAGATGGCGGAAAAATAATGTTCTTATTTTTTATCTTGAAAACGAAAAGTGATAGATTAATGAAATTTTATGGAAGCATTACTGTTATGAAAACACACTTTCTATTCTTGTTAACGAAATTTAAAGAAAAATCTTATCAAACACATGCAAAAAAATTAATTTGGATAGTTTAGTTTGTTTAGAAACTTTTTTATCTCTTGTATTTTTTTTATAAAACTCACCGATTTGAAATTAAAAAATAAAATGTAAAGCATTACATGTCAGGACTAAAAATATTTTTAGATTAAGAATCTAGTGATAATAATGATAATAATAATAATCTAGATAATAACGTATTGCAGTAGGGTAATGTCAAATAAAACAATATTAGAAACATCCTAAAAAGTGACAGCGGCCGACTAGATTTTTTCCTAAAAAAATTACAGCTGCCCACTAGATTCTTTACCTAAAAATGTCTTTTGTCCTGACGTAATGCTTTACATTTTATTTTTTAATTTCAAATCCGTGAGTTTTATCAAAAAAACACAAGAGATAAAAAAGTTTCTAAATAAACTAAACTATCAAAATTAATTTTTTTTGCATGTGTTTGATAAGATTTTTCTTTAAATTTCATTAACAAGAATGATAGGGGTAGTTTATTTCAAGCCCTTCCACTCATTTTAAAAAAGTGAAAAAATTACCAGAAAGTGTGTTTTCATAACAGTAATGCTTCCGTAAAATTTCATTAGTCTATCTCTTTTCGTTTTCAAGATTAAAAATAAAAACTTTATTTTTCCGTCATCTTTGTACTGCGATATTGAGGGTTGACTTTTAACCCAACATTTATAAAGCAAACTACCCTTTATTTTGAACAAGGAATCGCCACCTGAAGTTTTTCGCATTTGTTTTGAAACACCCTGTATATAACTTAAAACCAAAAAAATTTCCAAAATTTTTTTTCGCAAAAAATACCTCATAGGCGTGTTTCTGAGGCCGAAATATACTATCAGTTAAAATACTTGCACTTATTTCTGGGACATCCTGTATATAAGAAATATTTTTTGTGGATGCATGTTATGCATGTTTAGCTTTTTTATGTTTACCTACTTACCTAAGATTACGTTTTAAATTAGAAAGTTTTGCAAAAAACGTATCGTTTGTTTTATTTTAACAAGTTTTGAGTATGTAAATATTTATAAGAAAGTAAGAAGGACCATCGTTTACGTAATTTTCGGGTAACAGTTCGGGACTTTACAGTTTTCAATAATATTTTATAGTATTTTTATTAGCGAAATCAACCATTGATTTAACATTATTATTTATTGATATTAAAAATACAGTCATATATTTCACTTTTCATTTCTATATATGGTACTATTCTCTCATTGCGAGATCTATATTTTTATCCTTTTTTTTCATATCATAATGATTGATTATGATTGATTTTTATAGTTCTACGATGTCCTAAATACATACGTAATCAAATGTTATCAATAAAAATTAGCGCAAATCAAAAATTCGAAGAAATCTTGTACTACTGGCAGTGATTTTTGACATTGAAATCTCCTCAAGATACCGAATACAAAAAATATCACGCGGTTTTTCTTATAATTTGTAATAAATTATTGTAAAATAAAAGATTACATTATGTCTAAATTATTGGTTTTATTAGTAAATTTTCTTATCTTACAAACGAATTCCCCATAGCACAAAGTCCAATGCTTTATCTTTAACATTGGATTCTCCTGTGTCACATTGTAAATATCTGTTTTGTTTAAGATTTGGAAATTGTCCTTTTTGTGTTAATTAATTGTTGTTAAATGTACTCTTATATAAACAAATATTCTTTTACAGTTAAAATGAACTTAGAGGTTACAATATTTGACTTTGGAAATTATCCAGTAGATTTTTAGAAATTTATTCATGAGCAGGGACATCAGCACGAGTTGATCGAGTAGTGATATGGCTAGAGATGTATCTGTGAGTATCGATATTTTTTTTGTATCGATAACTTTGATATGCGATATATTACGATTGTTTTTTAATTGACTTGGGATTAGTGAGTGGCAACATCTTATGGCAGATGTTGGATAAATAAATAAATATAAAGTATCCAAGATAGGGCTTCCAATTTTCGGGATCTGGATCCCGTTTTGAAATTCTAAATTAAAAAAATTATAAATGAAGTAGCAGATTTAACATAATTGTTATATTTATAGTTATTTGCACCACGTGTAATGTCTTTTGTTTATGAATGATTTGGTACTTTAAAATTTGCTAATTTTGCTTCCGACGTCAACAGAGTATTTTGCCATGTGAAATAATGCACAATTCAATTACAATTTACATCAATTTCAACAAAACGGATGGTTAAACTAATTGCACGGTGTTTTTCTCCTAGTATTAACCATCAGGACTTGTTTTTAACAAAACAATTAAAAAAGGACTTTGAACGTCATTTTTTTTTGGTTGCATTCAGCTGCAGATACATTGTAATGCAGAGTTGTGAAAATTTTTTAAAATCAATGATTTTTACTAAAAAATATGATTATTTTTATTTTTGTTGTTCAGGGCTATTTTTAAAATTAATTTCTGAAAAAAGTCTGGATGTTTCGTCACAAATAGTAGATATTATTCTTTTATAATTATGGTGCTGTGCGAACGCTAAGTTACTATAATTATTATACAGGGTCCGGCAATAGTGCGTCGGGCATCTGTAGCTCCTAGAATAAAAAACTGGGGAATTTTGTTTAAATGCAAACCTAAAGTAAGAAAAACATTGTAGCTTCTATAGGGTGGCTCAAAAAAGTGTGAGCGGATCGGGATGATTTTATTAAATGGAACACCCTGTATATTATTGCATTTGTGGCTTCCTTTCAGATCACTTTACGTAATCCTAAGACATGAGTTAATATGTTTCGATAATTTCAGAGATATTAATGGTTAAATCAAAAATATATATTTTTTAACCTTTAAAAATATTATTACAAATACGAGAACTGTCCAGAAATCAAAATTATATTATGTATTTACTTTAGATGGTCTATACTTACTTTGCTGTAAATATCGTAATCTTAACTCATACAGGGTGTTCAAAATTCTACGCCAAACTTTCTAAAATATAAAATAATTTTTCTTTGTTTTTTTTTACACGAAACACATTTTATATTTTTTTATTGTTAGATGGAGAGTTAAAAATGAACATTTTTTGTATTAAAGTATTTCAAAATTGTTAATGGTCTCGCAGATATACGCAGTATTATTTCATAATATGGCTCTTTCAACGGTAAAATACGAGAGAAAAATCATTGGGTGGCTTTGATAAAAATTTACTGTGGAAAACGCAACATGAAATATACACAATACAAAAAAATGTTAATTTTTTAATTCTCCATCTACTGAAAAAATAATATACAGAGCGTTCCATTTAAAAAAAAACGAAAAAAAATTATTTTATATTTTAGAAAGTTTGGTGTAGAATTTTTAACATCCTGTATATATATATTTAGAGCAAAGGTAAAAGTATAGGTCGTCTAAAGTAAATACCTAGTATAGTTTTGATTTCAGGACAGTTCTTGTATTTTTAATAATAAAATTTGTTTAAGAAAGACTGAAAAAATATATTTTTATTTATTTATTAATATCTCTGAAATTATCCAAATATATTTACTCATATCTTCGGATCCTTATTTTCCACAAGATGTTTAATTTTATCCTAATAAAACAATATACTATTTTTTATTTTTTTTTTAATTATGATTTTAGCCAATCCTATTTTTTTCCATCAAAACTTACCAATAATAAGCCACTTTGTCTCCATGTCCATTCCTCACGTTTCTGTCCAACAAATTGTACGAAATATTGGTAGTAGCACCATCCAACCATTTCGTAAAGATGGGTCCTTTGGTCAGATCGAAATTATATCGGAAAAATCTGTCATAATCTATGGGAGTCTCCCAATGAAACTGTTTGGCAATATCACCCCAAAATTCTTCAGGACTTTCTATCGATTTCTTGTACATCTGTTGATATTGAGCAGTTGAAGTGACGTAAGCATTTTTACTGAGTGCCGGATTGGGATAGTAAATCGGAGATTGCTCGGAAGGCATTTTCTGAGTATTTTCTTTATTAAAATCTGAAAAGAAAATGAAATTTATATTCGAATACTTGTAGGTATTAGACATTCTCGGTTTTTAAACTATATTTTGACATGTTTCAAATTTCATTGTCAAAGCCTTTGAGTCAAAGCCATGTCAAAGCATAGATAAATGAAACACGTTTAAATATAAACACTATTTGGCGCTATTCTTGCAACGGTCGCGACCCAAAGCTTTTGAAAATTTCGGAGCGGTTCGGCTTTTTCCGGAATTATATCGCCAAATATTATTTATTCAAATTTATTATTATTTTCTTTTAATTTTGTAAATAAAATACAGTGTGTTGCATACAAGAAACTTTATTTGAACTACCTATAAAACATTGGAAACCGACGTTATACCACGATCCACGATGGTTTTTGCAGTTAACAGTTCACAGCACAGTTTTTTTAAGATTTTAATACCACTTTTTCACAATTATCACGGGTTGGAGTAAATAAAACTTGAATTAAACTCACAAGATAGCAATAATTACTTTGAAAATGGACGTTTTAAACACTTTTCGGAATTTTTTCAATGAGAGCGGTTTAGATTTTGAAAGATTTTATAATTTTTGAAGATTCTGACTTTGACAAGACATATGGACAAGTGAAATCATAGATAAAAGAAAATAATCTTCTATTAAGATTCCTCCGTGTTCTTAGTAGAGACTAGGTTTAATCCAGCGCCTTCGAATTTTCTGCTGTAAATATTTTTTATGTTTATATTTGATTTCAAAGGATTTAGTTTTAACATTACACTGATATATTAGTATCAGAGTAACTTTAATAAAACATAAGAATATATATATATATATATATATATATATATATATATATATATATATATATATATATATATATATATATAATTTACTGTTTATTAAATATAAATTTTGACTACAAGGTAGAAAGTAAATCACAATATCTGATAAAACTTATAAGTATACCATTTTTACAGTTAATAGATAATAAAACTATTTCTGACTCTGATATTTAAATTTTAGATAGATAGAATATTAAAAAACATACCGGGTATTTGTGCAGACACAGGCCCAAATTCAACAAAAACCAAAATTTTTCCTGCGAAAATCGGGCTTTTTTCACAGAAAAAGTATTTTTTGATTTATCAACAATCATTGTGAAGTTGACAATATACAGGGTGTTTTCTAATTAGTCTAAAAAATTGTGGTGTGATTCCTCATGTGTTCTTAAAACAATTTTTATATAACCGTTGGGTCTAAAGTACTTCCTTTCTGATCTACAGGGTGTTAAAAATTAAAAAAAAATCGATATTTTGCTTAACATAAATGGTTTTTTAAAGAAAATATATTTTTTTCTTGACTGGCCATCCTTTTTCAACAAAATTGATCTTTTCAGTTTTTCTTGTTCATCAAACGGTTGCCGAGAAAAAAATAAATATACTTATTAAGAGCACGCCTTAAGCCGTTTTCTAACGATTTTTTATTTTTTAGATTAATTAGGAAACACCCTGTATATGCATATCACAGGCAACAAAGCAGGCAACCAAATAAACTAGTAACCTCTAAAAATTATTTTTCCTACCACTAGTGACATACCGTGTTTTTAGTGAGTACTAAATTATTTTATCAAAATTTCACCATATAAGTTTCCAGGCAATGAGTGAAATTCATTTCTGTTTTTGTTTGCGGTTGTTCTTAGCAACCGCTATAGCAGCGCCATCGCATACAACGGTCGCGACCCAAAATTTTGACGGGCATTCCAATCTAAATTTTGTTAAAGTAAATTTCAAAATTTTATTCTAACCTTATACAATATACAGGGTGTTTCAAAACAAATGCGAAAAACTTCAGGGGGTTATTCCTTGTTCAAAATAAAGGGTACTTTGCTTTATAAACGTTGGGTCAAAAGTCAACCATTAGGGAGATATCGCGGTACAAAGATGGCGGAAAAATAATGTTTTTATTTTTTATCTTGAAAACGAAAAGAGATAGACTAATGAAATTTTACGGAAGCATTACTGTTATGAAAACACACTTTCTGATAATTTTCGCACCTTTTTAAAATGAGTGGAAGGGGTTGAAATAAACTACCCCTATCATTCTTGTTAATGAAATTTAAAGAAAAATCTTATCAAACACATGCAAAAAAAATGATTTTGATAGTTTAGTTTATTTAGAAACTTTTTTATCTCTTGTGTTTTTTTGATAAAACTCACGGATTTGAAAATAAAAAATAAAATGTAAAGCATTACGTCAGGACAAAAGAAAAAATATTTTTAGATAATGAATCTAGTGGGCAGCTGTAATTTTTTTAGGAAAAAATCTAGTCGGCCGCTGTCACTTTTTAGGATGTTTCTAATATTGTTTTATTTGACATTACCCTACTGCAATACGTTATTATCTAGATTATTATTATTATCATTATTATCACTAGATTTTTAATCTAAAAATATTTTTAGTCCTGACATGTAATGCTTTACATTTTATTTTTTAATTTCAAATCGGTGAGTTTTATAAAAAAAATGCAAGAGAAAAAAGTTTCTAAACAAACTAAACTATCCAAATTAATTTTTTTGCATGTGTTTGATAAGATTTTTCTTTAAATTTCGTTAACAAGAATGATAGGGGTAGTTTATTTCAACCGCTTCCACTCATTTTAAAAAAGTGAAAAAATTACCAGAAAGTGTGTTTTCATAACAGTAATGCTTCCATAAAATTTCATTAGTCTATCTCTGTTCGTTTTCAAGATAAAAAATAAGAACATTATTTTTCCGCCATCTTTGTACCGCGATATCTCCCTAATGGTTGACTTTTGACCCAACGTTTATGGAGCAAACTACCCTTTATTTTGAACAAGGAATCACCCCCTGAAGTTTTTCGCATTTGTTTTGAAACACCCTGTATATTATATTATATTATATAACCCTTATTCTAACAAAGATTCTAACCATAATTTACAAGGGGCGCAGAAACATGTAGTCTAATGAATTTGTATGTGTATTAAAATTTTTATTTATTGTTATTGATTAAGTATTGTATGATATCAACAAAAAGTTAAGTGGGTATAGTATTGTGATTGATAAAAGTTAATAAAGATCTGATCAGACGTTATAATTTTGTTTGTAATCTCCGTTGTAAGTGTATAAAATTGATGCAAAATAGTGCGATGATTATGCATGGATATAGGGCATGTTGTGCATTATTTAAAATTCTTTCAAGTTGGAATAAAAATATAGTATTAAAAATTAAAATAGTTTACTTACTTAAATGCCTTATATTCATGAAGCAATAATGTTTGTAATATTATGTTTTAAATTATTCAGGATATTTCACATCATTTGTTGATTAAAAAGGCCTAATGATCAAATTTAAATAAATATATGAAAATTTTAGGACAAGAAACTTTGAGACATTTTGACATTTTCTTTTTAAAATATTTCCAGTATTTCTAGTTTAATTTTCAGTGGCCACCAATTTGCTTATTGCTAATAGAACACCCTATAAAATGTATGCATTTTGGATTTTGCATGAAATTTTAAACACATTTTGTATACCGGGTGCGTCTCAAAAGTTGTTCGCCCCTATAACTTTTTTATTTTTTTCAGATAAAAAACGAGATTTGGCATGTTAGTATATGACATAAATTAGAATTGATTGACGTATTCAATTGATTTTGGTCACTTCCTGTTTCACCGGAAATCACTACAACTTTTAATTTTTAAATGACACCTTCGGTATTTTTTTTACTTTATTCCATAGAAAATGACACTTTGAATACAATGACATATATGTCAACTTTTGACATTTTCGCATATATGGTTTGTTTGAAATTGTAACATGCCAGTCATAACGACAATTTGACTCGAAATACCAAATGTGTGGTACAAAATTATTCGTAAAAAATGCTTTTTCCAAATATACTAATGAACCACCCTTGTTCCATTTGAAAAAATTGAGATATGATTAAAAATACGATTTGGGCATCCAACCGACCAGGGGCCAGGACAAGATACGAAAAACATTAGACGATCAAATCTATTTTTCCAGGGCTCCTTGATTAAACATTAATGTTTTTAACACAGCTATGGCATTCTAGATTGAAATTTAGTTATTAAATTTACAAATTAATAAAGATTAATAAATTTACAAAAAAATCATATGGATACCTAATATATTACAGTATTTTGACTAAGCCAACTTTGAAAATTCAAATATTTTTGTATAATTTCGCAATACAATAAAATTTTACAACATTGTTGAGATATTTAGCTTTGCGTGTTTGCAAATGAAATTTAAACCATAAATTCAATTTTGTATTAACATTCCATGTTTTTTTCGTTTCAACTTGACTAAATACAATGCTATAATTATTGACAAAAGCAGTGTTTTCAGGGTCTTTACCAAAAACGCTAGTCTTGACTTTTTTAAATGACCGGTAAACCGTTATTTGTAAACGAGGCTTTACAGTGAAAGTGAATTCATTCATGTTCATTAAAATCTGTCTAACATAATATGAGGCGCCAAGTTGCAAAACCCGCCTTACCCATTTTTAAAAAAAATGCCTAATTTCATATAGTGGGACACTGAAATCTACATAAACATAGTCCCAAACTGCCAGCAAAAGTCGCCTATTCCTATACAGGAGCGTCTTAAATTAGTGCAAATATTTTCGACCCCAGGAACCCGTCTATGAGATTTTTTTCGCAAAAAAAGATGTTGAAAATCGTGCATCTTCTTTTAAATTTCCCTGTATATGTATATTTCGAAAACTTTTTAGAGCTGCCTGTTCGCCGCAAATTTTCCCATGGTCTTCCTGATATTACCATAGTTATAGTTACAGCTTTACTCTATAGTTACGGCACTAAAAGGGGTGCAAATGCAGAAAAAAGACGGTGGCTCTCAAAATTTTTCCAAAAAAATCATTTTTTTTTATTTTCAAACTTAAATAACTCGGTTATTTTGGATTTATTTGAAAAATGGTAAAGAGAAAATATGTTTCTTTAATCGAGATATACCAGCCCTGAAAATATTTGCACTTATATAAGACTCACCCTGTATAGTGGATCCTGAAATCTACATAAACATAGTCCCAAACTGCCAGCAAAAGCAGAGTTGTTAAACTAAACGTGGTAATTAATAAACTACATTTACTACAAGTCACAAGTAGTTTTTTAAATGTCTAGTAGTAAATGTGTAGTTTATGTAACTAATGCAGTTTTTTTAAATAACAGTGAAAACATAACCTAAAAACTTTGTTTGTTGATCAATTTACAGAAATAAAAAATCTATATTTTGTGAATTTGTTTCTTATTATGTGATATTTTTGATACTTAATAGTTGAAAATGCTTGGAAGACGTCGATGTCTCCATACCTTGCAACATACCTTCTGGGAAGAGGGGAATTATGAAGTTGTGCCTTTAGATGTAAAAAATCATATATTCTCCTGGAGAGTGTCTATGGAGAATTTCTCCATAAGAATTTATAGTTTATTTTGTGTTTAATGTATTTCGTAGAAAATACACTTTTGTTGAAAAAAAAATTGTCTTTTTTTCTGATGTTGTTTAACTTATACAAATATAATATAACTTCATACTTCCATGATAAGAATTTGGCTTGATTTTTGTTTAAAGTCTAAATTGTTTATGTTTTACTATATTTTTGTAGGTAGTTTTTGAAGGTAGTTTTTAAAATTTTAAAACGTAATTAATACAAAAAACTACGCGTAGTTTTTGGCGTAGTTTTTTGCTACATAAACTACTTAACAACCCTGAGCAAAAGTCGCCTATTCCTATGCAAAATTCACTACAAATTACGTTACTATAGCAAAATCCGTCCTATCCACTTTTATTTGCTTTTTTATTGTCGTTATTGTTGCAAATCTCGTATTTTTTCATAGGCTTTTTACACAAGTATGTATAATATTACTACTGACGTCTTATTCATTTCAAATCCTTACCTAATTTTCAGAAAATAGCATAATCTAATAAATCAAGTTAGGATGCAAATATCTTGATGTAGAAAAACCCGTAATATGCATCATACTACAACAAAACCCGCCTTATCCGAATTATTTTTGTATTTTTTCTTTAAAAATTAAATATTCATTTTTATTTCTAGAAAAACGAGATACAAAACAATGATTCCACTCGATGGATACGTTTTTTTTATAAAGTAACGCTTCGAACATTTGCTAAAACAGTTTTTGTATAAACTGTTTTAGCTAACGAAACTCGAAACAACCCTTTTGGTATAAATTCCATTATTGAGTTTACTTCCATAGATATTCAGTATCAAATAGATACCTTTTTCTGAGAAAACTGCGATATAAAATAAATTTTATGATGACATTTTTTGATAATAAATTCAATCTTAAGTCAATATCGTTTTTCGAGTTCGTTTTATTTACCCTAGCGTCAAAAATAGTGCAAATCCTTTGTATCGTCTACGGAATATTTCTGCTATATCTTCCTGTTAATAAATTACACGTAATATATCTAATTCCTGGCGGTTCAGTCGGCGAGTCTATCGATGTCGGCGACCTATTGGCGATTCCAAGTCATTCACTAGCGCGCCGTGATATTTGTATTTATCGTTTTTACCGTGACGTGTAAATTTCGCGTCCTATACAAACACGGTCTCGCAAACCGGCGACGATGTATCGTACGATAATATGGCGCGACTGGAAACACGCAGACCCATTCGTCGAATAAATCGAATTTTGTGGGCCTGCGCCATTATCTCATGACCAAGAACTATGCCACAGCGATTAGTTCTTTTCGGAAATGTATACTCAAGTTCTTTATTTAAACGCATGGCCCATCTGATGTACTTTTAATCAGTTCCTTTACTTCAATTTTCATCAACTTTTTGCATTCTGATTTAATTTACACGTGTTTTGAGTAGAGATGATACGATACTACTTAGATATCGATACCTTTACTTTACTATTTACCTTATTTACTATTCGATAGGGATGTGCGATTCTGTAAAAAGAATCGATCTTAGTGAGAATCGGTCTTTTTTTAATTCAATTTTTGACTCTGATTTTCCGTTTTCGCAATAAATTAATAGTTGTTTTTTATACAAGACGATTTGGTATTTTATCGTCGACCAAAAAGATACATCGATACTCGGGAGACGATAATGCAATTTTATCGTCGTGTATAAAACAATATTTTTTCCATAGCGAGTTACGTTTCAAAAAATATTCAGAAATTATTCTTTCAAAGAATTTATTGCGAGTAGAAAAAATATTGTGCTGGGTTGGCGCTGGTTTCAATGTAATTCGACAAATAAATAAAGCTGTCTCTTTAGTCTTCAGTTTTGAGTCAATATTTTTAATTCTCTTTCGTGTCGATTGCTGATTGAATTGGAGCCAGAAAAGGCTCAAAACGAAATAAGTACAGTACGTCTGTCCGTTCTGCGGCTACGGGGTATCCGTGAGAGGGGAAACGATATTCTCTCGATGTTTCTCGTAAAAAATTAGACCACGCGTCCCATCAATAAAAAATCGTCAAATTTGCAAGTAGCCAATAAAATGAATGGGCGGAGCGATTTGGGTGACGTACTCGTCAAGTCGACGTATAAAATATATTGCTGTTTATTTAAATGTTTTTTGTCCGCATTCCTTTCATAGACACAGATCCAGCAGACGAACTGTAAATTACCAACAGATATTCAGGCTGTCGCCTCAGCCTGAATATCTGTTGGTTTGGCCAACCAAACCAAACCAAACGCCCATATCCAAACTACTTCCATTTAATTCCCGAATAACTTATGTAAAGGAATACAAACATTTTCAAAAATGAAAGCAATTAAAAAACGTGCGAGAAGAAATAAAGTTTTTAACCTATTCTCGCGGTTAAAGTATCATTTAATCTACCCTTGGGGTTAAAGTACTATTTTATCTACTGTTTTTGATAGATATAAGGCAATTTTAACAATTGCTATGGAAAAAATATATATGTATTTCTATTTTTTATGACTTTTTTTACACACAAAGGCACAAAACATAGAGAAACAATTAGAGAAACTATTCTTTGCTTTGTGATTGATGAACTGCACCACCATTGAACAAAAATTAGTCAGTACCGAAAAAACCGGGAATTTCCGGTTCCGAAAAAAAGCTCCGGTTCGGGAAACCCTAGCTGGTACCCAGAGTACTTTTTATCTTTGTCTAATTTATATTTATTTGCATAAGTAATCCAGTCCACTGTCACACACAGTCCACTGAATGTTGGGCCACCCTGTATGGTAAATTTACCCCCTGTTAATTTATTAATTTAATTTTACTCATATTTCTAGTTAGATTGATTGATTAATAAATGTCTCTCTATAAAGGAATTTCTTATTAACTTATCAGTAAAATATTTATAATCATCAAGAATTTTTTAAAACAGATTATTCGTACGTCATACGTAATACAATAGATTAGTACTGATTTCATGTTATTAATTATCAGTGTCAAGTTAACAATAAATTTCGAAGACATCAATTAATTGTATTGTGCATTAAAAAATAATTTGTATATAATTTGGCTGTTTTTTTGAAGTATAATGCCATCACACATCATCAAGAAAAAGAACACAATGACTATTTACTTTATTTGATGATTAGTTTTGATTATCTATCAGTCGTCATCATATTATTTGTTACGTTGATATTATTTGTTATGTTGATATTGTAGGAGTTGTTGAGAAAATTCGCATGAACAATTTTATTGTAATGTGAATGTTCGATTACTTGTATTTGTATGTAAAAAGAGCAAATATTATTATGTTTTTTGAGTGTTTCTACCATTGGGGATTTACCCACAATGGGTGAACTAGATTTTCCTTATTAATTATTCTGCTTAGAGTGCTTCTGGAAATTTCGATCTAGATTTGTTTGTTTTACTCTAAAAAACTAATCTTTTAATCCGTATCATGTATTAGTAACTTATTTATCAATGAGTGGCGATTATTATATCATCTCGTGAAATATAAATTGAATGAGGACACTATCAATATTTCATTAGACGCTTAATATACAGGGTGATTTTCAAACTTGAAATCTTTAGTGATTTCAGTAAATCAAAAATATTTCTTTTTTCTTTGAAAATATTCTCGGACACATCGGCAGATTTTTTTTAAATCATAATTCTATTTTTTATGGCTAGTCTTAAAGGCTGCCTCAAGTTACATAAGTGTGCTGAATTTCAAATGCATATTACTTTTAAAATTTTAGCAGTTGAAAGTTGAAAGAACGAATAAGACGTGAGCATAGGCCAGTTTGTGTTAGTAAAGTAAAGACATAGAAATGTAGAAATGTGAGTTAGTAAAGAGAATAATTTTAGGCGTTTATTTTTTTGACTGGTATGATCGGCTTCCCGCCAAAGCCTATAATTGTTTTGAGACGCATCCGTAGTGGGGCGCTGCTAGCGCTTGTTAAGAACTACCCCAAAGCAGTAGGACAAATAGCAGTTACTCTTGTCAAAATTTATATCTTGTATTCTATAAAAATTAAAATTGCCTCTCGTAGAAAATACACCGAAAAGTGTTTAAAGTGTTCTTTTTCAAGTTATATAGTATATTTTTTTCTTAAATATAAGTTTTACTTTTATATAAAAAGTGATATTAAAACACTTACAAAAATAAACTGCAAAAATCAACTTCCAGAACAGCGCCAAATAGTATTTACATTTTTTTATAAACCCGTTCTATTCTAAACTTGTTTCATTTATCTATGTGTTTGGACCTGTTTGGTTAAATAATATTTCAAATGTGAAAATAAAATATCGTAGCATATATTTCCGACAAAAAAATATCTTGAATCACCCTGTATAAATTTTAAATCGACTGTTACGTAACGTAGATTTTGTGATGTCGCAATATCGTTCATTTTTGCATGCTAATCGACGTTGCCACGTGATATTGTTTGGGTGTCGTCCACTGCCTGCATGATAAAGAAGACCGCTGTCTTTGAACCGATTTATGGAAAATCTTGTAACGGTCTGGCTTTTATCACATTCGGAAACATGAAATTAAACAATGTTTGCAAAATAATAATCTATTATCCAACAATTAACTACTAAAGTATAAAGTGACAGACAGTCTGTTATTCAGATACAATGTCCGCCTTCATTATTCAACACTGTCTATCCAAATGTCCGTTAATTTAATTTGAAGTAATTCAAAATTATGTTGCCTCAAATTTGAAGAAATTCATCTACAAGGTTTTTAAGATAATTACAAAAAATCATTTTTATCCATAATTTGGCCGTACATTTTTCGAACATGTTGTATATTTCAATTCTCGTTTCTGAGACTATTGATATATATATATATATATATATATATATATATATATATATATATATATATATATATATATATATATATATATATATATATATATATATATATATATATATATATATATATATATATATATATATATATATATATATATATATATATATATATATATATATATATATATATATATTATTATTGTATTAAAATATATTTATACTATAATTATATAATAATAATATATATATATATATATATATATATATATATATATATATATATATATATATATATATATATATATATATATATATATATATATATATATATATATATATATATATATATATATATATATATATATTTATATTATTATTATTAATATATATTAAAATTATAATAATAATGATATACATCTTGATTGCAACAATTAAATAAATTAAGACAATATTATTAAAGATATAACTGAAAAAAACAATTTTTATTTACTCTAAGTTTATTTATTGTCAATGTTTACATAGACTTCAACTAATAAATGTATCGTCATATTAGTTTTAACATTTTAAATAAGAATTTTATCTTTAAAGTAATAATATTCGTTCTAATTGAAGATTGTTTTATTTCAAATTGTCCATTAAGCCCGCGGAAGCGATCGTAGCGCCAAATTATTATGGTGGCGTTTTTCGTAACTATAATATCATGTGGCGCCATCAGTCGTTAATTAGTGAAACTATTCTGCAAATTAAAAGTTTTCTGTAAAAATTTCGTATTGTGACATCTAGCGGAAAATTGCAACACTATGCATTTATATAAAGAAGAAATCTACTATTTTCGATAGAGTTCTGTAATTAATCAACTGTCATGACATCTATCAGGAAATAGATATATTATTATCATTTCCGATTAATTAAATTAAAGAAATCTACTTTTTTAAGATCCAAAAAGTATTTAATCAGAGCCATCTATTATTGGAATTTAATACTATTCCTTTAATTTAACAAGAATTTAACGTACATACGTAAGCCAACCGCTCTTGGATTTTTTGAAATTTTAGCTAGAAAAAGTGATTTAATTGTATATTATTTGGTCACAATCTTTTCCTAAGGCCCTGCTAGACTCTTTGTAATGGTAAGTACCGTTTATTTCATGCTATTATCAGTATTTTCTGATCTCAAAATTTTTTCATTCGCTCAAACCGTCATGGCGTCTCTTGAAATATACGATTTTTTTATCATTAATTTATGTAATAATATTGTTTAGATATGTTCTTTTATAATTCTTTGCCGAAAAATTGTCAAACATTACTACGTATTTAAAGATTTGAAATTACAATAATTTCTCTTTGTACAAAATCATAGGACAACTTAAACATAAGGTATGTTGGAATTGGCCTGGTTTTGC